GTGAATATACCTTCATTTTTCAACCCTTTTGTTTGTTCATGGGCACTTAGGTTGTTTCCGTCTCTTTGCTAACTGCTCCAACCCCATCTCCATTCCCTTCTCCTTTTGAACAATTATATGTATTTTGCTCCATTATCCTATTTTCACAATAGTGGTCTCATGCAATATTTGACCCTTATGAGACTGTGTTACTTTACTCAGCCTGATGCTCTCTAGATTCTCCCACGTTATACAGAAATTTACAAAATTGTTGTTTCTTAGAGCTGCATACTATTCCATTGTATTGATTTACCACAATTTCTCTATCCATTTGTTTGTTGATGGACATTTGGGGTGTTTTCATTTGCTTGCTTTTGTGAATAATATTGCTATGAACATAGGCGTACACATGTCCATTCTAGTAATGTAATGGCTGTATTATGTGAGTTTCTATGTTCAACCTTTTGAGGACATGCTAAAGTGCCTTACACAGCAATTTTACAAACCCATTAGCAGTGCATTATAGTTCTAATTTCTCTGCATCCTCTCCAACTATTGTTTGTTGTGGTGTTAAACTGTGCTACTGCTGCTGGAGTGGGATGGTATCTCATTGTTGTTTTGATCTGCATCTTTCTGATTGCTGGTGATTTTGACATTTCCTTATGTGTTTCTTAACTATCTCAATGTTCTCCTTTGTGAAGTCTTTTCATGTCTTATGGTCTTATGTCTGCTGTGTGATTAGGTTTTTTTCTTTGAGGCCCTGTAGAATTCTGTAAACTTAATTATGAGATCCTTGACAAAAAAGCTGCCAAGAGCTTTTGTCCAAATCTATGTGCTTTCTTTTCAACCTATTAGTGAAAGGTTTTGATGCACAAAGGGATTTGATTTTAATAATCCCATTCATTGATTTTTTCCTCTGCAGGATGTACATATTTGGCTATGTTTTCAAGTGTTTTATGCCATAGACTAAGGCTTCTAAATTTATTCCTATTTTGTGTATTATCTTTATGGTGTTGGGTTTTACCCCTAGATCTCTGACTCATCTTGAGTTGGTTTTAGGATATGGTGTGAGACATGTATTCTGTTTCAGTTTTCTTCTGGTAGATGTCCAGTTTTTCCAGCACCATCTAATAAAGAGGCTGCCATTTAATGAGTTTTGTTACTCTGTCAAGTATTATCTTACCACAGGTTGATGGGTTGATTTCTGGATTCTTGGCTGTATTCCATTGATCTATGTACCAATACCATGTTGTTTTGATTACTATGGTTTTGTAGTAGATTTTGAGATCAGGGAATAAAATGCCTTGTACTTAGTTTTTGTTTTTCAGAAAAGCTTTGTAGTTCTAGGTCTCTTTTATTTTCAAATAAAACTGGATATTAACTTTCCTATCTCCCTGAAGGATGATTTTGGTATCTGTAATTGGGATTGTTTTGAACCTGCAGATTGCTTTTGGTAGGACTTTCATTTTCTTAATGTTTAATCTTCTTATCCATGAACAGAGAATATGTTTTCCCCATTGTTTCTTGTAGTACTGTTTTATAGTTTTCTTGAAAAAGGCCTTTTTTTCTTCTTCTTCTTTTTGTCTCTAGTCAAGTTTATTCCTTAGTATTTCATCTTGTGGTTGGCTATTGTAAATGGTATTGCTTTTCCAATCACATGTATGTTATTTATTTGATATCATCCCACATCATTCTAATGTTTTCTTCATTTTCCTTCTGTCTTCTGTTTTTCTTCTATGTTCTTGCTGAGATTCTTGTCTACTATATTGCTGTTTTTCTGATTCATCTCTTCTTTTCTGCATTTTTGTGCTGTTGAGAATTTCTGCCATTTCAGTCTTGATCCTCTGGATTGTTTTCCATGTTTTTCTATTGTTTCTAGTATTGTATTGGTTGTATCCTATTTTGTGATGATTTTTCATTTTTTGTTTCTCTTTACTTATGGTTTCAACTTTTGTAACTTCTTCAGTACCAGTTCTTAGAACTACGTTTGCATATTTCTTCTACCTTCCTATCTCTGAGGTATTCATTGGATACTTTAGGAAAGGGTTTTTTTTGTTTTTTCATAATGTTGGCCCTGACTGATTCTGCTTGGCATGTGAAATAGAAGAAAGGTCAGGCTGTTTCTCTTCTGATCAGAAAAAGCCCAAAGGGAGCCAGAACAGCCTTAGAAATGCTTCCTAGGATGCTTTCCTCCTTATGTCTCAGTGTGCTTGTGTCTTTTCCAAAGGTTGGGTATAGTCTATCTAAAGTTCTCTCTGGCTCTGGGGCAGGTAGAACAACTTGCCTTAGCTGGGGAGAGAAGGGCAACTTGCCTTGCCTGAAGTTCTCTGTGTTCCTAGAACTGATGGAAATACTCATTGTAGCTAGGGAGCTCAGGCCAGTGGAGGGGAGGGCAATTCACCTTGCCTGAAGTCTTCTCTGGTCCTGGGGCTGACAGAAATCTTCTTGGCTGGAGGGTTCACTGCTTCAGGGGTGGAGGGGACAACTCGCCCTGGCTGAAAGCCTCTTTGATGCAGTTGTAATCTTTGTACTAGCGTCACCTGGCTTTTCTCCTCAGGCATTCTTGTGTGGGCTCAAAAAAAACCAAACCTACCGATTCAGACTCGTAACAGTACTCAGGTTCCCAAAATTGAAAACCTTTACTGAGGAGACAGCTCATCTTTCTCCCTTAGAGCAGCTGGTTCATTTGAATTGCTGACCTTTTGGTTAGGAGTACAATACATAATATCACCAGTGTTCCTTCTCTGAGTTAATAGATGTGTATAAACAATTTGTGCCAGAGGGACTTTCCACAGGGTCAAAGGGGAAAATAGCTCATTATCAGATTCCATGGCAACAAGAAGCAAAGTCTGATCTCCTCTTAAAGGCTGAAGGTTTCAAAGATTTTAAGTAAAATTCCCTATGATGGTTCTACCAAATGCTTTCATTATTATTTTCTTTGAATTTTTTGGTTGACACTATATTGAAATGAAGAGAAACAATTGGTCTTGAGGTAACAGGAATTTTACTACAACTACGTGGGATACATATGCCTCAAGTATTCTGGTGTTAGGATTTATGGGCAAGTGGACATTTACCTTACATGCAGTTACACAGAGCCTGACAGGTAGTAGTACAAACTAGGATAGAAAATTGCCAGGAAGCCTGTTGCTGTTATGTGCCGTTGACTCATAGTGCCTGTGACTACGAGTCAATGTGCCTGTGATTCATAGTGACCCCTATGTACAACAGCCCTAAACCTTGCTCTATCCTGTGCTAATCTTATTGTCTTTGACATATCTACCCTATTACCCCACTGAATCCATCTCACTGAGGGTCTTCCTCTCCTGCACTGTCCCTCTACCCTCTCAAGCATGATGTCCTTCTCCAAGGACTGATCCTGCCTTGCAACATATCTAAAGTATGTCAGATGAAGTTTCAGAATCCATGCCCCCAAGGAGCACCCTGTTCTCAACCTCTAGGATGAACCCATTTGTTCTCCTAGCACTCTATGGTATATTCAGTACTGTTCTCCAGCACCACAGCTCAAAGGCATCAATTCTACTTCTATTATCCCTAGTTATTGTCCAGCTTTCTGACACATAGCAAGTAACTGCAGAGTATGGCCTTGATCAGGCACACCTTAGTCTCCAGACTGACATCGTTGCTCTTCAATACTTTGGAGAGGTCTCTGACAGCAGACTCTCCCAATGAATTTGTCTTTTAATTTCCTGGCTACTGGTACCAAGAGTGTTGATTGTGGAGCCAAGCAAACTAAAGCTGTTAATAATTTCAATCTCTTCACTATCAATCTCAGTCATCTATCTTGACACTGCCAATTGGCCCAGTGGTAAGAATCTTTGTTTTCTTGAGTTTCAATTCATATGGAAGGCTATACCTTGACTTTGTGTAGTAAGTGCTACAGGCTCTCCTCAGTTTCAGCAAGCAGGGTTGTGCCATCCGCATAACGCAGACTGCCGACAAGTCTTTCTCCAATCCTGATGCCACATTTCTCCTCACAGAGCCCAGCTTCCTGGATAATCTGTTCTGTATATAGACTGAAAAGTTATGGTGATAGGACACCTCCCTGGCATACACCCTTCCCAATTTTGAACCAGGCTGTGCTTCTTGCTCTCTTCTGACGACTGCCTCCAGTATAGGTTTTAAAAAGCACAATCAAGTGTTCTGGGATTCCCATTCTTCTTAGAGTTAGCCACAGTTTCTTGTGATCAAGATACATGTGTCGGGGGTGGGGGAGCAACACTGAATCTATTGGTTATTTCTACAACTGGAAAATATCTTTCATCTGCTCTTTTCCATAAAATGTTTGTCTGTCAGATAATGTTTTAAATCTGAGCATTCAAATTCAGACAGACTAGGAAAAAGGATTGGCCATCTGCTTCTGAAACAGCAGGCCTTCCAAAACAATAGAGCACAGGAGGCCTTGGAGGTTGAAAAAGCAGATGGGCAATATATAATCCACAGGTCATAAAAGAGTTAAACATCACTGATATGGCTCTCTTGAAATGATAACATATACTTTGTTTGTCTGTTTCATAGGAATAGAAATTTATAAAAAAAGAGAGAACCATTAAAAATTCTTAATTTTCTTTTTGTAATGACTGATTCAAAATGGTGTTACAATGAGCCAATATTATAATTCTTTTTAATACTTGTTGAAAAGATGGAGTTCCCTAGACATATATAGAGAAATTAAATTTTGCTTTTAAAAAGGACTTAGTTGTTAGTTGTTGATTTCATCTTATGGCAACCCAATGTGTGTAGAACAGATCTTTGCTCCAGGAGACTTTCAGGGCTGTGACAATTTATAAGGAGATCCACCTGGCTTTTCTTCCAGGGTGCTTCTGGGTGTGTTGGAGATTCCAACCTGTTGGCTAGTATTTAAGAGCTTAACTGTTTGTACCACCGAGGGACCTTTATTTATGACTAATAAATTCAGCAAGATAAAATACTCTTACAAAGAGCAGTTTTATAATGTTGATTAGAAACATTATCCCAACAGGACACTTCAGCAGGAAGTCTTAATAACCTTCAGGGAAAATATTAACACTGATGCATGCAGCATCATCGTCATGTTCAGGTTCTTTATTTTCTTCAGTAATACATTTGGCACATGCTTTCTCTAAGTTTCTTTTTTTTTTACGGGTATATGGTGGATTATTTTCCTCTTTGATCTTGAGATGTGAGTTGGTAACAGTTTCCCTTTCCAAAGCATGTTGCAGGCAATTAAAAAATCTGCAAAGAAATTATTATTATTGTTATACCTGTGTTTTGAAATGTAGTAACTAAATACACCTCAAACTAAAACTCATTGCCACCTAGTCGATTCTGACTCACAGTGACCCTCCAACAGATTTTCAAGGCTTTGATCTTAATAAGTCTAGTTAAAATATTTATTTAAATGTTATTTTAGTCAGAGGGCTTTGATTTACAAGAATTCTCTTTATACTATTTGAATTGTGACACTTTGGTCCTGCAATAAACTGATTTTAACATTAAAAGTCTGATTGCAAAATCTATAACCTCTTGTATTTTATTACTTTTTGTCCTTAAAACAGAAGAAGAGTTCTTTTTCTGCATGTAGTTAAATGTGCAGCTGCTCTCTGCAAGGAGCCTCCTAATTTGTCCACACTTTCTGAATTCACATGTAATCTTCTAATCAGTATCTTAAGACACTTTTTACTCTTCTTTAATTTTTCCCTGATTTTATGATGAGCATGACTCTCTTGACAGCAGCATGTAGGCTATAATCTCCAAACACATTTTTGAGTCAATGGAGTTAACGCATAATTTGATTTTATAGTTTGTGAATGTGGCTCAATTAACTTCACCAGGTGTATAGTTAGTATCTTGGGCTATATTTATAATCTTGTTAAAATTCAAGTAAGGAAACAGAGAAAATTGATTTGCTATCTTCTATATTTTAACAGTCTCAATGGATTAGTTTCTAACTAATGAAGTAAACTTTTGGCACGGTACCAAAAAGTATCTAGCATTCAGACTGCAGTTTGGTAGAGTGGGGGGGGGGGGGGGGGGGGCGTAGCCTCCAGCTGCTTACCTGAAATCCTAGCTTTAGTTACAATGTTTGCTCTGTGACCCAATAACCCCTCAGCTATTTTTAATCAGAGCCCTGTCAGAGAATCAAGCCCTAATGCCTACTGTATTTCCAACGTTGAAACTGTTCTTCAAAAAGCTGAAAAAAGATAACTTGAATAATCTTGTAGATTCTGTAGTTCAAGTGAAAAACCCAAGCTGTGAAAAGCTGCCTGAATAATCATAAGAAAATCATGTAAGAACTAAGAGGTTAAATTTAAGAACTAGGGACATACAAAAATGTGAATTGATAGCTACAACAGTCCTACTGGACAACTCTGGCAATTGTAAATCAAATCCCTGGCAGGTGTAGAAGTGAACAACCCAGGAGTGTAAAGCATACGCCAGAACGAAAGTCAGTCTGTTGGCCTCCAACACTGGGATTTTAGGGAACCGCTAATGGTCACTTTTAGGGCCATGTGTATCTCTGTCCTAGATGTCTTCAAACTGACCAATTGTGGCTGAAGGACTATCTCTACTTGAATGATTAAATGCCGTTCCTTGGTGTCAATTACTGATAGTTATGCTCTCCACAAAGTTTTCCTATTTTGGTTCATTTAGTGCCTGGCCAACTTTCACTGTAGGTTTGATGGTATATATCCTGTAGGGAATGGCACTGTTAAACCAAAAAAGGGGTGTCTCTCTGGGGTTAGAATCTACTAGTGGCTCTGTAGCAGAAAGATGAGCAATCTCTTTCTGCAATTTATTTACAAACTTGGAAACACAAGGAAGGGTCAGTTATGAGGCAGCTCTCCCTCAGCGGCAATGATGTTTTTTTCCCTATGACTTTGCTGAGCTTCTTGTTCATGACAAATTCAGAAATAGATAAGCAGTTGGGAATATTAACTGAAGATGGTGGATATATTAACATTTTCAAGAATGATGTAGGAATATAAGAATGACGTGGAAATAGACAATTTACCTTTCAATTCTCTTCTTATTTTCTTCCATTTTTTTATTTGCTATATTTAATAGAAAGCTGATATACTCCTCAGTCACCATCAGTTTTCCCTTGTGGCTTAATGGAACTTCTAAGCTATGTGTACTCCGGACAGCCTGTGATGGAAAAACAATTTAGATATAAAGACTTATGTTCTAGAGACACTAAAGATAACAAAAGAAATCCCAGATAGGGCTGTACTTGAACATAGTTTAGCTCTATTACCGCATTTAAGTTTGGTCTTTGATATAATTTAATGGAACAGTCAAATTGAAAGAGATTAAAAAGGTTTTCTCATCATAAAAGTCATTTCTAAAGAAAGGCAGTTTCTACACTATCAGAGAAAGAGATAAAATCAAAGCACCCAATAACTTTAATAGTTTTAATTTCATTGTAGCTTAAAAAGCTTACTACAAAATTTAAAGAAAAGAAATAAATGAAAACTCCACAGAAGCCTCAATGGGAAATCGAGATGCACTGGATGTCAAAGTGCAAGCGTGTTACAAGCATAACAACAATAAACTGTGCCAACTGCACAAAACAGCTACTTTTTATAATGTTTCAGGGTTGGTTTTCAAATTTTGCAGCCCTGGTGAAGTAATAGTGAATATGTTCCAACTAAACCTAAGTGTTGGCTAAAGGTTAAGAACAACAACTACAAAAAATATATTAGGAGTTGTAACATTTATTCAGAGAAAACTTTATGAGCCTCTTCAATGCTCTGGGCCCCATGTAAGGATTGAGAAGATGGACTGAAGATAGCATGCTTCTTGCACTGAAAAGCTCACACTTTAGGACAGGAAATAAACAGGTGAACAAATAATGACAGAAGAAATGTAGGCGCTATGACGGAGGAAGCACACACACATAACACTAAGGAAATGAGAAGCATTGACTTGACTTTAAAAGGTAGCTTTTGGTTTGGAGTTTTAAAGGGTGCTTATTTGAAGAGCTTTTACACTGTAGTGACTAAGAGCTTAACAGCTAATCAAACATTAGTGATTTGAACTCACCAGCCACACCACAGGGGAATAATTAGGCAGTTGGCTCCTACAAAGATTTGCAACCTTGGAAACCCTATGAGGCAATTCTACTCTGTCCTATCAGTTGCTATAAGTTAGAATCAACTCGATAGCTAAGGGTTTGGTTTTTGGGTTTAAGTGTTAATTTCATCAGAAGTAAGGGAGGGAGAGAAAAGCATGCCACACAGAGGAGCAAATAAAGAGACAAGAATGAATATTTATAAAATAGCTGGGAAATAATTCTACATGATTGGAACTTGAGTTGTACCAGGAAGACCAGTAAGAGATGAGCATAAATGGGTCAGGCCTTAATATCACGGGAGGTATTTGGAGACCTTGATTTTTTTACAAGTGGAATTCTGAGAGTACGGGTCAAAGGAAAGGAGCAGAAAGATCAGACAGGAAGCAGGAGACAATTATAAAGATCAGAGGAGGGACTATGAGGGCTGAATTAAAGGCAGTGACAGCATAGAGAATTAAGGTCAGGTGAGGGAAAGGGAAAGGGAAAAGGAAAGGGAAAGGGAGAAAGGGAAAAGGAAAGGAAAGGTAGGAATGACCGGACCTCGAACCAGCTGAATGTGGAAGATGACAAAGGTGATGATGAGAAAAGCTCGGCTCTCACTTGGTGGTGCTTCTGAGATGAGGACACAAACAAGAATCAAGAGCCCATGTAGTCATGTTTTATTAAAGGTGTCAGCTTTTGTAAGACACCTATGAGGAAACATAACCCTTTGATAAAAAATAAAAATAAATCCAGGGTGCAAGAAAACAGGATAACATGGAATAGTGCTAAAGAGTAAACCCACAACAACAAAAAGCAAACTTTCCCCTAAAGAAAAACAAAAATACCCATAAAGCAATATGAGGTTAGACTCAAACAGAGAAACAGTAAAGATGGGCAGCACCTGGGTTAAGAAAGCGACTTAGAGACAACTCCTACTTTCCCTTAAGTGTTATATAAATTTGCCCTTACTTTGAAATTAATGAACCAACCCTTCGTTGCCACAAAAATCTTTGGCACAATCACCTTCACATGTTACACCTGCAGCTTTTAAATCACTAACAAGCCTCCAGGACTCCTTTGCTTGCACTACAAGGCTAAATAATCACGGTGTGTAGCTGTTACAACTTAGCTACAAATAATTTAAGAGTTAAGAATGGATCTTGTTCATAACCTGGGGATTATCCATACCACAAGATACCAGAATAGGGCACAATCACTACAGGTTAATCTAGACAAGGAAGGATTCAGAGATGTATAACTCAGAGATATGAAAGAGTTTAGAATTTGGCAAGTTTTTCCAGCAAAGAGAGAGGAAAGCTTTTGTTTGCTGATGTAGCTAAAGAAATTCAGTCCCTACGGCATTAAAGATTGTTCCCAAGTTCAGGTAGCCTGCTGTGATGCAGCCGTTACCAGTGCATCTTCTATCTTTCCATGGCCTCAGGGTGCCTGGACTGTAACATTCCTGGAGGAGGAGGAGGCTACTACAGAGAATGAGGGAGATAAACTCCAGCATTGGCATTTAGGAACAATCAGGTTAGAAGTGGGGGGGGGGGAATTATTCTAAAATAAAACTTCCATTTAAATCTACCAACGCAGGACCTTGTCTGTAGGAAAGAATAAATCACTGAAGGCTCTAAGAAGAGGAATGGCAAAACAATGTGAGCAAGGAGTCAAGAGGGACTACAGGCAACAGTCTGAGTAGAAGGTTATTCTAGTCAGCATCACGTTACACTCAGGTAATTGTTTTTTGCCAAAAGGTTCCTTACCAACATAGTCTTTCCTCTCTTTCCCACTGTTATACCAGAGTTCCTGAAACCAGAATCTATTGCTGCTGAATGCTGTAAGAAAAGAAAACTTGTTGAATTCTTACAATATGGCTAATCATATAACTTGTTTTAGCTCCACAAGCTTTAGAAACATAAAGAACTCCAAAGCCTATTAAAATTATTATAATGACGGCATTTAAGTGACTCTGAACGTATTCCTATGAAAAATACTAACGCTTTTGAAGTGTCACTGAGAAACAGTACAACCAAATTTCAGTATGTCTAATAATTGCCTCTATAAGGTAAACAATGACCATTTAATAGTCATTCCTGAAATAGTATTGTACAAAACCAAAGCAAACCAAACTCATTGCCATCAAGTCAATTCTGACTTAACAGCGATCTTCCATTGGGTTTAAGTCTCAAGGCTGTACATTTTACACAAGAAGCTGCTGGTGGTTTCAAACCAGTGACCTTTTGTTATTAGCTCATGACATAACACACTAAGCTGTCAGAGCTCCTAAAGGCTGGAAATGTTAATGGGAGCAGACTGCACCATTTTTCTCCTTCAGAGTCACCAGTGAATTAGAACGGCCAACCTTCTGGTTAGCAGGGCAGCACTCAACCACCACTACTCCACCAGGATTCCTTGAAACAGTTTTGTAATAAAGTCAAATTAATAACAAACAACTGAAAAACAAATTAAATAAATTAAAAACAAACAACTGCACCAAAAAAAGCTAAACCCAAACCCTCACCTTAAAGTGAGTGAAATGTTATTTTTTCCTTCTGTAGAAGGGAATTCTGACTCACTGAAGACTTGAGTTTGAGATGGTAACAGTATGGTCCCACAGGATTAAATGGTTAAATGCTTGACTACTAACCGAAAGGTTGGTAGTTTGAACCCACTCAGTGTCTCTGTAGGAGAAAGGCTTGATGATATGCGTCTGTAAAGATTACAGCCAAGAAAACATATGGGACAGTTCTATTCTCTTTGTCACTGCAGGTTCCCTGCCCTTTGCCTTTAGAACATTTTGTAGATTTTAAGTGGTCATTTTATTTCAGAACAGAGTAAGGGAACACTGCATGGTTCAAAATTGGGAAGGGCGTACGCCAGGGATGCATCCTATCTATATGCAGAACAGATTATCCGGGAGGCTGGGCTCTATGAGGAGAAATGTGGGGTCAAGATTGGTGGATGATTTATCAACAATCTGCGTTATGCGGATGACACAACCCTGCTTGCTGAAACTGAAGAGGACCTGAAGCGCCTGCTGCAGTGTCAAGGACTGCAGCCTACAATATGGATTGAGGCTCAATGTCAAGAAGACAAAGATTCTCACCACTGGACCAATTGGCAGCATCAGTATGGATGGTGAAGAGATTGAGATTGTACACAGCTTTAGTTTGCTTGGCTCCATAGTCAACAGTCTTGGCACCAGCAGCCAGGAAATTAAAAGGCGCATTGCCATGGGAAAGTCTGCTGTTAGGGAGCTCTCTAAAGTACTGAAGAGCAATGGTGTCTCTCTGGAGACTAAGGTGCTTCTGATACAGGCCATGGTCTTCGCAATCACTTGTTATGCATCAGAGAGTTGGACAATGACCAAGGAGGATAGAAGGAGAATTGATGCCTTTGAGCTGTGGTGCTGGAGAAGAGTATTGAGAATACCATGGACTGCTAGGAAAACACAGATTTGTCCTGGAGAGGGTTAAACCGGGTGGCTCCTTGGAGGCAAGGATTCTGAGGCTCCGCCTAACATACTTTGGACATGTTGTGAGGAGAGACCGGTCCTTGGAGAGGGACATCATGCTTGGAAGGGTGGAGGGACGGCGCAGGAGGGGAAGGCCTTCTATGAGGTGGATTGATTCAGTGACTGGGATAATTGGAATGGGAGTGTCAGAGACAGTGCGATTGGCACAGGACTGAGCAGAGTTTAGGGCTGTTGTACATAGGGTTGCTATGAGTCGCAAGCGACTCGACGGCACATAACAACAACAACAATTTATTTATTTGCCTGTGAACTGCTTGCTTTTGTCTGTCTCTTCATGTTGAGGGAGGAATCAAGACTGTCATTATCTTGTTGATCACTGTACCACTGGTCCCTACCACATTATGGTTTGGTATGTTCTGTTGAATAAACGCTTGCCATGCGATTTCATTTTTTTTTACACATAAAAACAGAAAAGTATGAAAATCAACAGGGAAAAAAATAGAAAAATAAGAGTTCATAAAAATGTATAATAAACTCTAAATGATGAGAAAAGTTGGCTATTACTTAAACACTCAATTTATATGTGATTTCATGGTGTTTTTCCTAAGTTCAGCAAGCAAAATTAAAATGGACAATGCCAAAGTAAATTTATAAACTGAAAATTAAGGAAGAAGACAAGGAATATAATGTGCATATTCTATTTTGCTAGTAATTATTATTCTTTTCTCTACATTAAATGGGGTGATAATACAGATGAATAAATAACTTAAAAACTGTTAAACTGGTATCACATTCATTTTTTGATAGGGTTTTGAAAGCTTAAAATTCAATCTACCTCCTAGAGTTACATATTCAAACATTATTATGTAATTTTACCAGAATCTGTGCATCCTGTAACTGCCGACACTGCACATGAAGAACAAATGGTTCAAATTTCAAAACCGCATCACCAATTGATTTCTTCAGAGCTGCAATCTGAATGAATAGAAGTCTTAACATCAGACAGAACTCAATGATCTTGTTCTTGGTGATCACAGAATCACTCATATTCACTCCGAATACTTTTCCCCTGTAGCAGCTTTTCACTTTAATCTCTTAGCCTTCTTTCCTCAAGATCTTTTCAACCTGCTTTTTATGTAAAAAAAAAAACACCCAAAAAACCCTGACTCCTATTTCTCTCAAACTTTCAGTGTTAATTCTTTTCAAATGTAACTATACTTTCAAAAAGGAAACTACTACTTTGAGCATGTTGTTAGAAGAGACTATTGCTTGGAGATGAAAGACAGAGGGTCAGCAAAGGACAAGATGACCCTCAATGAGAAGGATTGATCAGCAGCAATGGGCTCAAGTGTGTCAGAGCTGATGAGGCCAGCACAGGATTGGACAAGGTTCATAGCTGTTGTTCACAACGTTGCTATGAGTTGTACAAAGCCATATCTGACCCTGAAGCTAGTTTTCAGAGGCAGTTAATTACAGAGAAGGAGAATGTCCATCCTTCTCCAGTAGAGCAATTGATGCATTCCAACTATGTGCCTTTGGGATTGCAGCACAGCTTCTTACAGCCATCTGAGCTCCCTATAAAACAACACTCTCTTTAATTCCATAATAGAATTTTTAGAAAGGAATACTAAAAAGAATTAAAAACAAATCAACTCACTACTGCTGAGTTGTTTGGGGTTTCAAAGGTGGGAGGAAACTGTGCTTTTTTCTTCTACAGACCTACTAATGAATTTGAATTATCAGAAACATGCAGCATTTGGGTTAGTAACACATCTTACTATGGACTACACGACCAGAGTTTCCTTTATAAGGAAACTTCCTTATATATTCCTTTATAAGGAATGTTGTTCTGTACTGTTGTCAGAACTGACTCATAGCTGACCCTCCAGCAGGTTTTCAGAGGCAGTTAATTACATGGGAGGAAAGTACTCATCTTTTTCCTGCAGAGCAACTGGTGGAATAAAGGAACAGGACACATAAACACTGTACTAAAAAGACTGCTTAAATGTTTTATTGATTGACTGAACTGCATATATCTGTACTATTATGAATGAGCCAAAATTTATAGAAAACAATTTTCATTTCCATCTTTCTAGTACCCTGGAGTAGCATCCATCTTTGCTCTTCAGCTATTTGCTTCTGACGGGATTATCAGTCTCAACTCCATTATTCTTTACTGTCCTGCCATGCTATCAATGATGGCAAGTGTCTGACTGAGAATAGTATTCCATCCTACTGGCAAAAACAACTAATGTATAAGAGATAAAAACCCAATACAAGCAGGACCAGTCAATTACATGGAGTTCTGGAGGTCCAGTGGTAAGAAACTGCTCTTTAATCCTGAAGACACACAGTTAAAATCCATCAGCTGCTCTGCAGAAGAATGGGCAATCTCCTCCTGTGAATTAACCACCTCTGAAAACCTGGTGGATGGTCACCTGTAAGTCAGTTCTGACTTGATGGAACAACAAGGGAAATATATTTTTTTTCCCTACTAGGATTCTTGCAAGCTATCTTTCTAGCCACAAAAAACATCTACAACAGTAGAGAAGAAAGGCAAATATGCAAAAAGACCCAATGGTTAAAGATGAAGCTGAAGTGAGTCTTCTGAGAGATCTGACCCAGTAGTGTTTGAGATCAGCGCTCCTTTCAAGTTTTCCATGTTCTTGTTGGTTTTGGGTAGTTTTGTGTTTTTGTCTTTCGCTTATGAGAATTAAAATTTAATTTCTAAATGCACTGGAAATTTTAAAGTATCTGACTAGGATAATCCAAACTGATAGAAACTCATCTATAATCTCTTCCCATAACTCCTGAATCTTTTCCTTCTATAATTTGTCCCAGGTTAGAGTTAACAAGTGGCAGAACTCAATTCAAAACTAGAATCCAATGTCTCTAACACCCACAAACTTTCTGCTGTGTACAAAAAGGGGATGTGTTTTGCTGAGTAGCAGCAGGTAAAGCTTGAATATATTTATTTACTTACACACTTCTGTTTCCTAGAATCTAAAATAACATTATAATGAATGTTCTCTAGGCTTTTACTCAAACATACATATTTGTTCATATCAATCACCTTGACTTTTCTAATCCTATTTAAAGATATAACTGGAAATTTTAAAATTTATTTCTAAACTTACATATAAAAACTTACCACATCATCTTTTTTACAAGGTTTGTGTGTAACCAGAAGCCAACAGCAGTTTTGTTTCTGAACTTCAAAACCATTTGCACTCTAAAATAACAAATAATATAGTTTACCATAATGATTTAACATTTACAAAAATAGTAAGGACCATTTATAGCACACTGTAAGCTTTCTTAATAATGTTAAATGGTGATATTAAGTATTACTGATGAAGTTCATGTTGTTGTTATGTGCCGCTAGTCAGAACAAAAATCATAGCTTACCCTCTAATGTTTTCAGAAGATGTAAACTGCACCGGAGAAGACTGCTCATCTTTCTCCGACAGAGTAGCTGGTGTTTCCAACTACATGCTTGCTTTAGAGATGGTGGCACAACTACTTACCACCAAGACACCAACACGACTTGAGCAAACTTATAGGTAAAGTTAAACCAAACAAAAATGAATTCAACTAATATGAGATAGAAAAAAGATAGCAGCATGCTTATTAGAGATACTTACTGTGCTACAATCCCAAAGATATGCAGTTCAAATTCACCAGCAGCTCCATGAGAAGGATGGACACTTCCTCCTGTGTGATTTACTGCCTCTGAAAACCTGCTGGAGGGTCAGCTGTGAGTTGGTTTTGACTCAAGGGCACACAAAGTTTTGATATAGTCATGACTTTGTCAGGAAAAGAGACTATTCCAAGTAGTTGGACATTGCTGTTGTTTTTAGATGCTGTTGAGTTGACTATCACTCAAAGTGACCCTATTAACAAAGATTGAAACCTTGTCATATCTTTTTGATATCCTCACCCTCTTTCCATGCTTCTGGAAGGAAATTTAGGAGCCTCAACTTTTACAGTAGCAGTTTTATTTGGCTAGCTCATATTAAAAAAAGAATAAATAATAAAACAATTTTAATTTCTGGTGTAGGACAGACTCATCCCATTACAACAGATATACTCCTTTTTACTCATTCAAGTGCTATTCACCTCTTTCTTCTACTTCCTTTGTTTCACAAAGTATGAGTTTATGACTACTGGATTATACTTTATATATACTTTCAAAGGGTAGATGTAGGTGTTTTAGGTCAACATTTAAAGAAAGCAAACAGTTTACTATTGGATTTACTTATTGACTGGGTAAATGATTATTTGTTAAATTCTATTACATTCCTGAGCTATGCAAATGGTTAATGTCCATCCAGTTATTATGTGCTGTTGAGCTGATTGCGACTCACAATGACCCTAAGAACAGGTGTGAACCCGCCCTATCTTGTGCCATCTTCACCATCTCCCCAAAGGCATCTTAGAAAAAGGTCTAGCATTCCATTTTGGAAAAATCAGTCACTGAAAACTCTTGGGAATATAGTTCTGCTCTCGCACCGATGAGGTCACCACTAACTGGAATTGATTCTATGACAACTGGTCATCTGATATTTGGATGTACAGATTCTAGTCTCCAGGACAGTGGAAGAACCTACATGAATAGTAATCACTACACAGTAAATCTACAGAGTAACTATTTACACAATGGGTCCTCAGGAGACTCTGGAATCTCAAAAGAGTTGGTTAGTCCTGAATAATTAATTTCCTTTTATTATATGACTTTTGTTATTTATTTCTCTGTTGTTTTAGGTACTGTTGTAAATGTCAGATCCAAATATGTGGCTCACAGCCATCAAGATTACAGGATCTAATATAATGTTTAGGGTGCTCTGGAGTCCTACTGTGCTGCCAATCTGAACACAGGCAGTTTGAATCCACCCGTTACTTTGAGGGAAAACAGGCAACCTCTTTCTGTGTGATTTATAAGCTCAAAAAACCCACTGGAAGGTCAGCAATGAGTTGGTTCTGACTTGACAGCAATGAGTTCGAATGTGAACTGCATGCTTTGGAATGAACACTATTACTGGCTTCATTTAATCTCTATTTGAATTAATCAAATAGCTTAACTTTTGGGGGATTTTCTTCTTGTTTTGCTTTTTTGGAAGCTCCAAATCTTTCCTTATATAAGAAAGAATTAAAATAAATAAAATTAAAGTATAAAAGAAGTAGCTATTACTCCTGCTGGCTAGCCACCACAGGAAAATATGGTAAATCTGGACTCCTGACTGCCCTCAGCTATGGAAGGCCCAACACCACTATCAGCATTACTCTAATGAGGCACAATAGGTGTAATAGGTAGGTATACTGCTACGTGGAAGCAGGAGTGGCAACCACTTCCTAAACAATATGCCTCTGGAAACTCTATGAACTATAATAAATGTCAATAGTTGTCGAGGGGCTTCCGGTCTTTCATTCATAGGATTGCTATGAGTTGTGCTCAATTCGAAGGCAATCAACAACAACATACTGCTATTATAGCACAATATATAAATGACTACCCCTAAAAGAAAGGTTTCAGCATAGGTAAGTGACATGAACAGACTTGTGTTTTAGGAAAGTCACTATGTTAGGAGACAGCATGTATAATATGGTTGGTTGACAGCAGAAAGACTGGCTAGTCCAGTGATCTATTAGGAAAGAAAAGTGAAAACACAAGTGAGATGGAAAGGACAGCAGAAAGGGGGAAAGAGACAAATGGAGTGCCTGTGCTCAGGAAGCAAAGGAAGCTACATAAAAAAAAAAGGATTGAATCTACCAACCTGGACATCAAACAGCCTAACCACCAGAGACCTCTCGAAATTACTGAAGAGCAACTATGGCAGTCTGGAGACTAAAGTGTACCTGATACAGGCAATGATCTTTGAAATTACTTATTATGCATCATAAAGCTGGACAATGACTAGAAATGCTAGAAGGAGAATTGATGCCTTTGAGCTGTGGTGCTGGAAGAGTACTGAATATACCATGCACTGCTAAAAGAACAAACAAATTTATCCTGGTGAGGGTGAGGCCTTGCTGCTCCTTGGAGGCAAGGATTCTGAAGCTTCATCTGGCATACTTTGTACATGTTTCAAGGCGGGATCAGTCTTTGGAGAGGGACGTCATGCTTGGGAGGGTGTAGGGACAGTGCAAGAGAGGAAGACCCTTGGTGAGATGGATTGATTCAGTGACTAGGGTAATGGGGATAGGTGTGTCAGAGACAATAAGATTGGCACAGGATAGAGCAAGGTATAGGGCTGTTGTACATAGGATCACTATGAGTTGCAGGCGCATAACCACCACCACCACTACCACCACCACCACTCAGAGCACCTCTACAGTATAAAGTAGAACTTCTCACAAAGTCCAAGACTATATATATTTTATGGAAGCAGATTACCACATATTTTGCCAATAAGCAGCTGGTGGGTTGGAACCACCAATCTTTTGGTTAGAAAATGGATTTTATGGATTATGCCAATAGAGTTCTTTGTTAGGAGTCTGTTATGTACCATCAACCAAAACCCACTCATAGTTGAACTCCAGTGTGATTTCAGAGGTGGGAAACTGCACTGGGTGGGATTGATCATCTTTTTCTTGCAGAGCAGCTGGTGGATTCAAACCTGGTACCTTTGTGTTGACAGTACAACTCCTTACTACAAAGAACTCCCTTCTGAGGACAATGGGGAGTCTAAACCCATAGCTAAGCCTCCAATGGCTTTTGAGAGGCAGTAAATCAAAGGAGAGGAGACAATACATCCTATGCTCCTTCAGAGCAGCCGTGGGATTCTAATCACATATCTCTGCTTTGCCAGCAAAGGTCAGCTAAAAGGAGGAAGATCCTCATCCTCGATGAGAAGGACTGACACAGTGGCTGCAGCAATGGGTGGCATGTATATCAGAAATTATAAGGATGGCACAGGATAGGACAGGGTTCAGATCTGTTTTTCATAAGATCGCACAGCACATAATACAAAACCAACAAGGCCCTAGACCTCTCCCCTCCTGGAGGCCAAGTCTTCTCTATAATGAATCTCTGAATGCACCGGGTTGGTTTTTTTGTTGTTGTTGTTGTTTTTGTTTTGTTTTTTTTTTATGTTCTTAATACTCTTAACTAAAGTTCACTGTCAACTTTTATCAACTCATTGCTGTTGTCAAAACTGACTCATAGTTGACCCCCCGCTGGGTTTCTACAGCTGTAAATGTCACAAGAGATGGCTCATCTTTCACTTGTGGAGATGCTAGTTGGTGCCAACCACGTCGGTGTTAGCAGCCGAAGTCCTAAGGATTATGCCACCAGAGCTCCTTCACAGGCACTTAACGTGGCCAAGCATGACGCTAAATGATTCAAATGCAGCCTTAGTGACCTAGTGGTAAAGAACTGTGCTGTTAATCCAAAGGCAGATTTGAATCCACCAGTTGATCTCCAGGAGAAAGATGAGCACTCTTTCTGGGCTATTTGCAGCTTCTGAAAACTACTTGGATGGTCGGCAATGAGTTGGTTTCCACCGGATGGCAGAGAACAGCACAACCGCACTTCTTGCATACAAAATCCCAACTACACATACAGCAAATTGAAACCTCGCCCTATCCTGCCCCACCCTCACATCTCCGCTGTGGTTGCAGTCACTGTGTCAATCCGTCTCCTAGAGGGTTCTCCCTGACCCTCTGGTTTTCCACGCGCCAGAGAGATAAACATAGGTTGGGTTGGGCCTGGCACCGGGTGTAAAGCTCCTCGTAAAGCTGACTAGAGCTTAATGAAGCACTACAAACGCACAAAGGGGCCTCACCCCGTCTAGGATGAGGATGCGGCCAGCGCAGGAACTAGTGGTGAAAAACTGATCTCGTGAGTTCAGGAATTGCACCAGCTCTATCACGTCCTCGTCCACACTGCCCTTCCGGCTGAGATCTGCTTTGCCCAGACATTGCGCCTTCCACCTCCCGAACTCTACGCTGCAATCCATGAATTTAGGAGTGCAGGGTCTGAATGTTCCTCATTTACACTTGCCGCTCTCCTTCCAGGAAGACACCATATTGAAGTGACGGGTGCCGGGAAGGTCCAATTTTCTTACCCTGAGAACGCAGAGACTCGTTTGTCCTCTAGGGGCGGAAAGAGGCGGGTCAGTGGGCGGAGCTTGCGAGTGGTGGAGCCAGTCCCGGCCGCCCTTTTGTTCTGTGGGATCTAGGGAGTGTTTGCGGATTTTCTTTCGGTTTTTGATAAGTAGGTAAGTGTTTTAAAATTAGTCCCGTTAGTTGTCCAAGATCCTCGTCTCTTCGTAACTCCTTGACATTGAGCACTGAATTTGCTTTTGCGTGTGCTCCAATTCTGCTTACCCCAGGGGCTGGTAAATAAGAAGTATTTGCTCTCTCTAGAGACTAAGTGTTCCTCTTTCGTAAAACACCTGGGGAGTTTTCCCTGCTGGCTCTGGTCCCTTCCGGTAGGATCAGTAGTGGGGTTACCTCGGGACCCCCGCTTGCACGTCCACTCAGCCTGGAACTCTGATCTTTCCTGCATTCACTGCCTGGGGTCAGGGGTCCCTGCAATCAGGCGTCTTGAGCGAGTCATCAGTTGTAGGAAAGGATTTCTCTACTTAAGACCCTCAGAGCTCTTTCAGCTTTGTGATCAGAGTTACATAATTAATTAATTACTTTTGGACAGAACTGTATAGCATGTTTGACTTATTCCTCTTGAAGTCCTCTTCTGGAATAATCTTCAAAGGGGAAAATAAATTATACTTTTACGCTTTCTCGAGAAGGATCATCTCAGCGATCAGGGAATGATTAAACTCTTGGCCTAATGTTAATGATTAAGCCACCTTAAGGGGAGCTCTCAGGTGACCTAGTGGGCAGGAGCTGCAGTGCTATCTGAAAGGTACTTGGTTCAAATCCACCAAATCTCTGGAAGAAAGATGCACAATCTCCTCCCATGCGATTTCCTGCCTGGTGGTCACCTGTTGGTGTTGGTTCAGACTCGATTGTTCTTAATAATAAAACACAAGGCTAAAGGACCCCGGAAAGCATGATTTAAGCCTTCAGCCAGTAGTAGCCAAATAGATTTGAACCCATTAGTGACTCTGCAGGAGAAATAAGACTCAGTAAAACAAAAACTTGCCTGTCTGCTCCACCTATTCTGTAAATCAGTTCTTTATTATATAGGAACTTGTGAGAGTCTACTAACTGCACCTAGCAGCAAAAGTTTGGACAGTTACCACAACTAGTGGGAAATGCAAGGTGACTTCCCTGAAGCCACTGAGACACACTGTGAGTTTTTGGACATAACACATCCAAACTTAGCAGCACATCTTGTGAGGCACTGTTCAGCCAACACTGGGTGTGACCTACACTGTCCAGATCTTACCATTAAAAATCAGAATTTTCTTTTTACAAAGTCTTCCCTTGTAAAAAGTAAATCCTGAGGTCCAGTGAAGTATCCAGAGCAGGGAAACATTGCATAGTTCAAAATCAGGAAGGGAGTGTGTCAGGGAAATGTCCTGTCTCTTTACTCTTTATATGCAGAACAGATCATTCAGGAGGCTAGCTTTTATGAGGAGGAATGTGGCATCAAGATTAAAGGAAGACTTGTTAACAATCTACGTTATGCAGATGACACAACCCTTCTTGCTGAAACTGAAGAAGTCTTAAAGCACTTGCTGCAGAAGGTCAAGGACTGTAGTCTTCAGTATGGATTGAAGCTCAACATCAAGAAGACAGAGATTCTCACCATTGGGCCAATTGGCAGCACCAAGATAGATGGAGAAGACAGCTTGCTCAGCTCCATAATCAACACTTTTGGCACCAGTTGTCAGGAAATTGAAAGATGAATGGTATTGAGAAAACCTGTTCTCATGGACCTCTCCAGAGTACTAAAAAGCAATGATATCAGTCTAGCGACTAAGGTACACCAACAACAACATTGCACGTGAACTTCACAAGCATCCTATATTAGAGGGTTGTTGTTGTTTGCCATTGGGTCAAGCATGACTCCTAACAACCCTATGAACAAAAGGCCTGAAGCCTTTCTATAACTATCAACATTTATCAAAGTTCATAGAGTTTCCGGAAGCATGTTGTTTAGGAAGTAGATGCTACTCTTGATTCCCATTTTATAGGTTAGGTAGTGCATCTTTAGTAGATCCCTTGACTTACTGCCATTTAAGAAATTTCAATCTCTAAAATGTCTGAATCATAAAATAATTGTCATCCTACCTACAGGATAGAGCAGGGTTTAGGGCTGTTGTACATATGGTCATTATGAGTCGCAAACGACTCGACGGCACATAACAACAACCACCTACAATTTAGTTTGATTTCATATTTCTTGTCCAGTTTGTCTCACTATTATCACTCTATGTTTCTAAGAAATAAAGTTCACAAGATTAATTAAGGGCCCTCTTAATTGTTATTGGTATATGCCATCAAGTCGACCACTACTCACAGCAACCCGAAGAACAATGGCTTTGAACTTTGTCCTATACTGAGAAAGCCTCATCATCTCTGACAACACCTGACTCCATTGGCACTGTCACTGTGTCAGTCCATTTCATACCGGGGTCTTCCTCTCCTGTGCCGTCCCTCCACCCTTCTGAATATGAGATGGGGTTTCCATATCCTTGCTTCTAAGGAACAACCTGGTTTCACTTTGTTCATAAGAGACCTGTTTATTTTCTTGGCTGTCTATGGTATGTTCAATACTCTTTTCCAGCACCACAAGCAAAGCCATCAGTTTTTATTCTAACATCTTAATTTATTTTCCAGCTCTCGGATACATAGCAAGTGATTGAGAAAACTATGGAATGGATCAAGTGCACCTTAGTCTTTAGACTGACAGCATTGCTCTTTTGCATTTTGAAGAGGTCCTTGACAGATTTTCTCAGTGCAACTTGTCTTTTGATTTCTTGACTACTACTGCGAAGGGTGTTGATTGTGTGTCTGAGCCAGTTCAGTCCTTTCTCTATATATCATGATACTGCCTATTGGCCCAGGGTAAGGATTTTTGTTTTCTTGATGTTGAAATGAAATCCGTATTGAAGACTGTAGTCCTTCATCTTTTGCAGCAAGGACTTTCCAAGTCCTCACAGCCAGCAAGGTTGTGTCATCTGCATAAGGCAGGTTGCTAGTGTTCCTTCCCCCAATCCTGATAGCACATTCTTCATCTTCATAATATCCAGCTTCTTGAATGATCTGTTCAGCATATAGATTGAAAGAAGATAGTGCAGACATTGGCACTTTATAAGCCTCATGGGGTAGGGTGGCAAGGCAGTGAGTCTTCTAAATCTAGTTTAATTGGTTTCTTCCTTTTTCCTAGCATAACATGCCAGAATGTAAGGGGGCAATGGGGAAAATGTGTGTTAAATGCAAGAGACGTAGCCTATTCAGAGTATTTTGCTATTATTACAACATTTATTTGAGGATTAGTGTAATGCCTCTTGGCATAAAGATAGATGCAATTGTTGTATCCTTGGGTGGTTTGAATGGGTTATATGCTGTACTGTGGCCAAAAAGGTGGTAGTTTGAACCTCCCCAGAGGTGCCTCAAAAGACAGGCCTGGTAATCTGCATTAAAAACCTTGTAGAGCAGTTCTCTACATTGACTCTCTGGTAGCTAACAACAGCAGGCAGGTATTTGGGATCCCTGAGTAGCACAGTTGGTTAAGCACTTGATTACTACTTAAAGGTTGATGGTTTAAATCCACTCATAAGTACTGTACAAGAGAGAATTGGAAATCTGCATCCAAAAGATTCTAGTTTTTTAAACCCTATTGAGCAGTTCTAATCTGAAGCACTTAAGTCTACAATGAGTTTATGTGACAGCAACTGGCTACGCAGATACTGAAGGTAGACAAAGGTAGCTATTTTACATGGTGTATGTGTCAGAGAGACAAAACACACAATGAAAGCTAACAGTGTGGTAGAAGCCTCTTTCTTTTCTTTGTGTTCTCTGAGTTTAGCACAGTGCCTAGAGTATTGCTGAAGTTTAAAAATATCACATGCTGAATGAATAACAAAGAATGTTTGGTATTACCCTTGCCTTTAAATGATTATCTAGACTCTGACCTCTGAGAGAGAAAGAATTTGATTTACAACCATGTTCTGTGAGTCTTGTCATATTGTATTGTAGAGTATTACAGAATTATAGAATAGAGACTTTTTTTTAAATATTCCAAAAAGCATTTCTTGAGTGAGAAAGGGGTTGAAAATGGAAGACTAATGCCTTCTGGGAGGGAAAACAGGTTTCCTGAAATTTTCCTCTCAGCTAATTACCAACAAATTAAATTCAGGGTAATACATCACAATCAAGTGAGCTGATTTTTTTTTTGGGGGGGTGATGGGTAGTAGTCCATTTGTATTTATTTTCTTTTAGATTTTAATGAAACTTGATAAAGAACTTGGATTTCCATTCATTCATTGTTGTACATTTTCCTCCCTGCCTCCCTTCTCCCCCCACCCAGGTTTTTTTTTTTTTTCCTTTGGGAAAAGTTTCTTTCATTTTTATAAAGTTCCCTCTCCCCCCAACCACTTTACTATGCATCTCTTATTCTGGACTCTTGTCATGCCAACAATACCTAATCATATGTACATTTTATACAATTCTCTCCCTCATCTGTTTCAATGCCATGTACATTATTTATCCCCTTTTCTTAGTTTCCCCCCAACTCCTATATCAGTCCTATTCTATAACAGTGGCAGTATTTGTCTTTTTGTGACTGAGATATTTCACTCAGCATACTGTCCTCCATGGTCACCCATTTTGCATAATATTTCATGAGTTCCTTGTTTTTCATTGTTGCATACTATTCCATTGTCTGACTATACCACAGCTTCTCTTTCCATTCATTTGTTGATGGGCACTTGGATTGTTTCCACCTCTTTGCTGTTGTGAGCAAAGCAGCAATGAACATGAGTGTGCTTGTATCTGCTTTGGTGGCAGTTATGGTTTCTTTAGGGTATATTTCCAGTAGTGGAATTGCTGTGTCAAATGGTATTTCTACTTCCAACTTTTTGAAGAAGTACCATACTGCCTTCCATAATGAATAGAGGCTATTTTTAAGAACAGAAGTTGAAAATGAGGAAATAGAAAAGGAATAATGATATTTATTATTTACAGGAACCAATATTTGCCAAATTATTTGTACTTGAGAGTTGCCTTGTTTCTATCGTCGTCATAACCTTGAATGGCAGTGCAGTTTTCATTTGAGAATATTGACATTTAAGAAAGTTGACTGTTTTACCCAAAGGAACTCTGTTAGCTTCTTGTTGAGGACCATCAAGTCAGAATCAACTCTTAGCTGACCCTCCAGTGGATTTTCAGTGGCAGCAATGGGAGGAGAGTGCCCATCTTTCTCCTGCAAGCAACTAGTTTATTCAAACCAACAGAGAGTTGCGCTGTCATCCAAAAGGCTAGCACTGCAAATCCACCAGCTGCTTGGTGGAAGAAAGATGAGCATTCTCCTCCTGTGAGATTTGTTGTTGTCAGGTGCCATCAAGTTGAGTTCAACTGGTAACCCTCTAAACAACAGATCTGAACCCTGTGTGACTTGTGCCATCCTAATCATCTATGTCACACTTAAGCCTATGGCAGCAGTCACTGTGTCAATCCATCTTGTTAATGGCCTTCCTTTCTTTGACTGACCCTTTACCTTTCCAAGAGTGATTTCCCTTTCCAAAGAATAGCTTATCCTAGTAATGTGCCCAAAGTTTATGAGATGAAGCTTCTCCACCCTTGCCTCCAAGGAACGCTTTGAGTGCTCTTTGTCTAAGACATTTCTGTTCTTTTGGGAGTCCACAGGATATTCAATCCCCTTCTCCAGCACCACAACTTAAAGGCATAAATTCTTATTCTGTTATCTTTATTCAGCTCTCAGATTCACAGCAAGTGATAGAAAAGACCATGACCTTGATCAGGCTCACCATAGTGTTCAAACTGACATCATTTCTCCTAGTAGTTCAGAACAGTTTTAGACTTACAACTTCTGAAAACCCACTAAAGGGTAATCCATGAGTTGGTTCTGGTTTGATGGCAGTCAGATCTGGAGGCTTAATGATATGGAGCAGTGCTACCAATGCAGTTGGCGTATGGTTCAAATTCACCAAGTGCTCCACCAGAGAAAGATAAGCAGTCTTCTCCTGTGTGATTTAGAGTCTCTGAAAATCTCCTGGAGACTCAGCTATGAGTCAGTCCTACTGCACGGTACACAACAACAATCTTATTATCTCAGGTCATCTGGCTAGCAAGGGATGGAACTGGGATTGAAACCTAGAGTCTTAGTTCCTGAAGCCCTCACTATTCGTTACACCACAAAGAAGATAAAGGTAGAAGTGAGATCTGTGTTCTTATTTCTAGGATAGAAAAATCCGATCTGGACAACTTTTCCTTTTCTGTTTAATCTTTTCATTTTGTGTTTAAGAATTTGCCAGCTTGAATGAAGACTGGATTACGAGGACAGTAGTCAGATAGTTAGATAGGTAATGATGTTGGCTGTCTTTTCCCAGTGCTCTCTGTGACACAGGTTAGTCGCCCGCGGTGACTGTGAGTGGCTTTGTATGGTGCAGTTCCGTTTGTGTGCCCTCTGCCTCCTTCTGTTCCTTTCTATTGCAAGTTTGCCCTCCAACTACTGGAAAATTCACCTTCTCTTTTATGCTAGGTACTGTATTAAATTGATTTAAAAGAAAGAGTTTTAAAATGATGCAAGCTTTTTTTTATTATATTAAGGATTTTCTATTGTTCAATGGCAATTAATTTTATAAAACATAATAAATGGGGATGGTTGCATGAAACACAGTGTATACAGACTTTGTAAGCAACCAGTTAAAATGTACACAAATGAGTGGGGTAGTGGGGGGCAGGTGTGTCTGAGACAGTGAGCTTAGGTCAGGATAGGACAGGGTTCAGAGGTGTTATATATGAGACAAAAGTGACTTGATGGCACATAACAATAGCAACATATTGTATATATTCTTTAATCTTTAACATATATGTGTTCTTTTCCTTTACTTAGAGTCTATTTAAAATTTGAGTTTTCTTTTCACTATAATATTAAACAAACCTTTGTAATTTACAAAACATTACATATGCTGAATAGTGCTTTTCTTTTGCAATTCATTTTCGCTTTTGTCAAATTGAATGAACTACATAAACCCAATGGTTTCAGCACTGATAAACCTCAAAAACTAAATTCTCGGAGACACAAGCAAGTGTCAGAGTTAGCTACATTGTGATCCAGTAAAGTTACATGCGTGGAAAACAATAGAACTGACCATTTTGTTGACATCTGAGCTCCTAATCATTATGGTCAGGGAGCTCTGGGGACTTAGTGGTAAGGTATTATACTACCAATCCAAAGGCAGGCAGTTCGAGTCCACCAGCTGATATGCAGGGTAAAGGTGAACAGTCTTCTTTTGTATGATTTACCATGTCTGGAATCCTGCTGGAGGGTCAGTTTTGTGTTGGTTCCAACTCAGCACAAAACAACAGTAACCATTACAGTTACCAGGGTTTCTTATGTACTCATAACAGTCAGGCATCATACCTGGGAGTGATGTATATTGAATTAATGGTGATAGTTGCATCTTAAAATGATGAGGTAAAAATGGCTTTGCAGATGGGCATAAACACACCAGTGCTGACTCCTAGTGACTTGTTGCTTTGGGAAAATTTGCTGTCAGGAACTTCTCAGAGTACTAAAAAAGCAATGATGTCAATTTAAAGACTAAGGTGTGCCTGATCCAAGCCATAGCCTTTTCAGTTACTTGCTATGTATCTGAATGTTGGACATTGAATAAGGATGACAGAGGAAGAATAGATTTCTTTGAGTTGTGGTGTTAGAGAAAAGGACAGAGTATCCCATGGACTATCAAAAGAAAGAATGACTAGATCTTCGTCAAAGTGCAGCCAGAGTGCTCCTTAAAGGCAAGGGTGGTGACAGTTCATCTCACATACTTTGGCCATATTGTTAGGAGGGCCAGTACTTAGAAAAGCACATGCTTGGAAAAGTCTAGGGTCAGCAAAAGAAGAAGACCCTTAACAAGATGTATCAACGTATATCAGAGATTTTGAGTATGGTGCAGGACAGGACAAAGCAAGGTTCAGATCTGTTATTCATAGGGTCACTGTGAGTGGTAACTGACTCGATGACACCTAATAATAACAGTGATATCACATGACTGATTGAATAGAACTTCCCCATAGGGTTTCTAATGCTATCATCTTTATGTAATTAGATTGCTTATATCTTTGTTCTTTAAAATGGCTGGTGAGTTCTAACCAGTAGCCTTTTAGTTAACAGCCATGTTGCTTAACAGCGATGTAACCAAAGCCCTTTGGGTGTGCATGTAGGAGGCTTCAGTTATATCTGTAAAGTTTAAGGTTTTGAAATGTTAAATATTTATAAATTTGTTAAATATGGATATGAATATAAATTTATTTATTCTTTTTTATTTCTGTTTGAAATATTTAATAATTAACAAAAGAATGTCTTTTTGTCTAATATTAACAATTTATATTAGCTTCTAAGCTTTCCAGATATTGCAGCTTAAGCTTACACAAAAGGATCCTTAAACTAGAGTATGTTTATCTACACATTTTTGTTTGCTTGCTTGATTCCCTTGTTGAAGGCACTGAGTCCCTACAGGACTAGTGTGAAATATTTCTCTTTGTAGCTAAAGGATTTGTAAGATGAAAAGTCCTTAAACATGAAATGAAAGCAGTAGTAGACTCATAATTTAAATTGTTGCTAGAAAAAATTGTTTGATCTGCCCCTTCAGGGGGAATAAAAAGTAAAATAAGCTGGATAGAATATGATCATACTTTTTTTATTATTATTATTTCACCGTGTAGGTCCCCATGGCAACTGGACAGAAGCTGATGAGAGCTATTAGAGTCTTTGAGTTTGGTGGACCAGAAGTGTTGAAACTGCAGTCAGATGTTATACAACCAGTTCCAAAAGAACATCAGGTAGAAATGATTACTTTAAAATAGTCAATAATTATGCTCCATGTGAATATAGTAAATGTATCAAGTTCAATAAAAGCAGATACAATGATTTTAAAACATATTAAGACAGTTTACATGTGTGAAAAAGTGAACACAATTCTAATAGATTCTCTTCTATATTTGACTTGTTTAATAATATAATGTATGAAAAGTTCTAGTTATAAGAAAATTTTTTAAATTGAGACTCATCCCTGTGATGCAATTAGATTATCTCACATGGAGTTGCAAGTACTTTTTAACAAGTTATGATGTTAGACTTTGAATATTTTAATTTATGAAGGGGACAAAAATTTGCATTTGTATAAAATGTTCATATATGATTTAATAGAATATGTTTTTACTGTTATGTGCCATTGAGTCGACTATGAATCATAGCAAACCTATATAAAATAGCTCTGAATCCTGCTCTATCCTAAGCCAATCTCAATGTCTCTGACACACTTACCCTTATTACCTTAGTTATTGTGTCAACCTGTCTCATCCAAGGTCTTCCTCTGTTGGGCTGTGTCTTGACCCTTCCAAGCATGATATCCTTTTCCTGGCAACATGTCCAAAGTATGTGAGTCAGATTCTCAAAATCCTTGCCTCAAAGGGGCAGCTTAATTTTACCCTTTCTGGTACAGACTTGTTAGTTCTCTTGGCAGTCCATGGTATGTTTAATACTGTGCTCCAGCACCACAACTGAAAAGCATCAGTTCTTCTGTCATTCTTATTGTCCAGCTCTCTGATATGTAATTGTGAAGACCATGACCTGAATCAGGCACACCTTAGTCTCTAGACTGACATCGTTGCTCTTCAACACTCTGGCAAGGTCTCTGAGAGCATATTTCCCTAATACAATTCGTCTTTTGATTTGCTGATTGCTGGTCATGAGAGTGTTGATTGTGGAACTAACCGAGGAAGCTGAAACTGTTAACAATATCTCAATCTCTTCTCCATCTATCATAATGCTGCCAGTTGGCTCAGTTAGAATCTTTATCTTCTTGATGTTTAGCTTCAATCCATATTGCAAACTGTAGTCCTTGAGCCTTTGAAGCAAATGGTCAGGCCTTCTTCATTTTCAGTAAGGTTATATCATCTGCATAGTACACCTTCTTCCAGTTCTGATTCACATTCCTTCTAATAAAGCCCAGCTTCTCAATGATTTGTTCTGTATACAAATTGAAAAGACATGGAAACAGGATATATCCCTGACCCACAACTTTTTTTATTTTGAACAGGCAATATTTCCTTGCTTCCGTCGACTGGCGACATTCTGGAATTCCCATTCTACTCAAAGTTAGCCACAATTTGTTGAGATCCACATACTCAAATGTCTTCACATAATCAATGAAACACAGATAGACTTTGCTCTGGTACTCTCTGTTTTCAGTGAAGAACTATCTGACTTTGACAGTGATGTCCCTAGTACCACAACCTCTTCTAAACCCAACTTGTATTTCTGCCAGTTCTCTTTCTATGTATTGTTCCAGTCACTTTTGGATAATTTTCAGCAGGATTTTGCTAGAGTGTGATACTGTTCTATAATTTCCATAGTCTGTTGAATAACCTTTTTTTTTTTAGTATAAGAATAAATATGGATCTTTTCCAGTCAGTTGGCCAGCTGATTGTCCTCCAGATTTCTTGTCACATAGTGGTGAGCACATCTAGAGCTGCATCTGTTTATTGAAATATGTCAATTAATATTCGATCAATTCCTTGGGCCTTGTTTTTTGTCAGTTCCTTCAGAGCAGCTTAACTTCCCCCTTCATCACCACTGCCTCTTGTTTCATGATGTTTCATGAAGTTGTTTCATGAAATACTTCTGTGTCGGCCAATTCTTTTTGGTGTAGTGACTGTGTACATTTTGCATCATCTTTTGATGCTTCCTAAATCATTCAATATTCTGTCCATATCATCCGTAAGTATTGCAGCTTAAAACTTGACTTTCTTCTTGAGTTCCTTCAGCTTAAGAAATGCCAAGTGAGTTTGACTCTTGATTTTCCAGAGTCCAGCTCTTTACACATTTCATTATAATACTTTGCCTTGTCTTCCTGAGTTGCCCTTTACAATCTTCTAAACATAAAATTTCATCCTATATGATGACTTTTGATTCAAATATATATATATATTTAATACTGTGCCTTCCATGATTTCAAATTCCCATTTTCTTAGCTAAACTTATTTTTACAATTTGACTATAGGCTGTCTTTCAAGATTTATTTGTTATCACTTCCTCTAAGTAGAGGTGCTGTAAAAACATTAAGCTTTATATCCAGTTTCTTAATGGAGCCTTTCCAGTCTTCTGTCTTGTCACATACTATACCTTTTACCTAGAATGTTCTTTCCCCCATTTCTGGAGAATTTCTGCTTATCCTTTAGGGTTTTGTTTACATTTACTTTCTTTGTGAGGTTTTCCTTGCTCTCATACATACTACTGTCTAGTTGATTCTTACACGTATTGACTTTTTGTCAGATTTCTGAGGCTATAATTCCTTGCAGCTCATCTTTATCCCTTAGAGCAGCTGGTTGATCCAAACTGCTGAACTTTTGGTTAACAGTGCAACATGGTCGTAGTCTATAAGGAGTTGGACAACTAAAGCAACAGTCGTACCTCTCTGGTGGTTCAAATCTACTATCCACTCCACAGCAATGAACTCCTAGTAGATGTAGTTTCAACATCAGTGGTTCATCCATATAGCATTATTTCTCATTTGCAAAATTAAATGTTGGCATGTAGCTCTGCTCCAACAATGATTTAGGGACTGAGATTTCATCCACTATGTATTTTCTAGGCATGTATAGAAAGCACATGCAGATTGCCTAGGGACCTTTTAAAGGACTATCCTTGAAAACAGTTCTCCTCATTTTCCTCACATTTTATTTGCTAACATTCAGTCTTTATTAATAACCATGAGAGAGACTAGAAAATATCTTCCTATGTACTTAGGAAGAAGAGGAAGTGGGTTTTGCTATACATTAGAGATTTCTGCCAAATATTACCTCAAATATTTCATATATTGTATTGCCAAAATATTTTTAGTATAATGCAAAACCAATTCTGTATTATCTTTTTATTTACATGTTGGCTTGTTCTTGTATTTATTTGTATTTCATTTTTATAGACTTCATACTGTTAGCACAATGCTGAATTAATCCCTAAATGCTCTGTGTGAATTGAAATCCATTGTCATTACAGGTTCTGATCAAAGTCCACGCATGTGGTATAAATCCAGTGGAGACATATATTCGGTCTGGCACTTACAGTAGGAAACCAAATTTGCCCTATACTCCTGGCTCAGATGTGTCTGGCATAATAGAAGCTGTTGGAAATAATGTCTCTACTTTCAAGGTATTACTTTTAAAATTATTTCTATTTTGCCTTTAAATATTTTGACATATCTTTAAAATGTATCTCTATTTAAAGCTTTTAAAGATCCCTATTACACAATTTCTGTCACTTGGGGGACTCCTCTTGTCAAAAAAGAAATTACTTTTTATCCATAGACTATATTCATTTGTATCATTGTGCATAAATTCTAGACAATTTCTCTATCTTCACATCCCCAAATGCTTGATAATTTTGATGTAATAGATATTTATGAGAAACAAAGTATACAAGGAATTACACTATTTCCTAACAGTAGAATATTAAATAATCCAGGAAAATTAAAAATAGATGGAAGAAGTATACAGAGTCACTATACCAAAAAGAATTGGCTGACACAGAAGAATTTCAAGAAATAACATATGATCAAAAGATAGTGGATATGAAGGAGGAAGTTCAGGCTACTCTGAAGGACTTGGCAAAAAAATAAGGCCCCAGCAATCAATGAAATACCAACTGACATATTTCAGCAAACAGTTGCAGCCCTGGATGTGCTCAGCAGATTATGCCAAGGAATCTAGAGAACAAGTAAGTGCCTGACCGACTGACTTCAAGAGAGCCATATATATTCCCATTTCAAAAAATCGTGACCCAACAGAGTGTGACAACACAGTACCAAAATCCTGCTGAGCATTATCCAAAAACAGTTGGGACAGTATATAGTCAGAAAACTACCAGAAATACAAGCTGGGTTTAGAAGAGGTTGTAGCACTACAGGCATTATTGCCAATTTCAGATGGATCTTGGCAGAAAGCAAAGAATACCAGAGGAATGTCTATTTGTGTTTCATTGATTATGCAAAGACATTTGACAGTGAGAACTATAACAAATTGTGGCTAATCTTGAGGAGAATGGGAATCCCAGAGCACTTGATTGTGCTAATGTGAAACCTATACTCGGACCAGGAAGCAGTTCTCAGAACAGAGCCAGAAAATGTCTCCATATCTTTTCAATCTATATGTCGAACAGATCATTCAAGGGGCTGGGCTTTATGAGAAGGAATGTGGCTTCAGGATTGGAGGAAGACTCATTAACAACCTATGCTATGCAGATGACACAACCTTGCTTGCTGAAACTGAAGAGGTCCTGGAACACTTGCTGCAGAAGGTCAAGGACTGTCGTCTTCAATATGGATTGAAGCTCAACATCAAGAAGATAAACATTCTCACCACTAAACCAATTGGCAGCACCATGATAGATGGAGAAGAGATTGAGGTATTAACAGTTACAAGTTGCTCAGCTCCACAATCGTCAATCTTGGCACGAGCAGTCAGGAAATCTAAAGATGAATTGCATTAGGTAAATCTGCTGTCAGGGACCTTTCTGGAGTACTGAGAAGATACGATGTCAGTCTAGAGACTAAGATTTACCTGATTCAGGCCATGGTCTTCGCAATTACTTGCTACACATCAGAAAGCTGGACAATGAATAAGGATAACAGAAGAAGAATTGATGCCTTTGGGTTGTGGTCCTGGAGAAGAGTCTTGAACATAACATGGACTGCCAAGAAAATAAATAAGTCTGTGTTGGAGAGGGTGAAACTAAATTTCTCCTTCCTTGGAGGCTAGGATTTTGAAGCTCTGTCTCACATACTTTGGGCCCATGGCCAGGAGGGACTGGTTCTTGGAGAAGAACATCATGCTTAGAAAAGTAGAAGGACAGCAGAGGAGACCAAGAACCGTTATGCGATAGATTGATGCTATACCTGGGTAATGGTTGTAAGTATTTTGGAGTCAGACTGGCTCAGGACAGGGCAGGATTCAGAGCTGTTGTACATAGATGACATATAACAACAACAACAAACACTTGCTAAGACACACAACAATAAGATTTTAATTCTTTCTATAAATTATAAATGTAGCTTCAGAGTGCAAAAGGGAGGTTAGTTGTTTTGTGCAGTAAGTCAAAGATGAGAAAATGCAAGGTCACCAAATATTTTTAGTTCTTTGACTCAGATGAAGGTGATTGAGTCAATGAAAGTGTTAGAATCATGGCTTTTTTATTTATAGTCCAAAAGACATATAAAACATAGATAGTATATCCATGTTCTCGCATTTCTCCACATATTCCTTGACCTGATTAACTTTGACAGCACATTTGCTAGAATTGGAGTGAGACAGAAAAGATTAATGTAGCCCCTGAACAGGATGGTGGACAAATTTGTTCAGCTTTCTACTCCTCTGCCTGTGGCCATTCGACTTCTGCCCTTTTTGCTCCACTGAAATGATTTTTGCTAATGCCACTAATGGCTTCTTTACTGCTGAAGTTAATGGACCTTCTCATGTCATTATCTTTCTTGACTGCTCTGTGACATTTGACACTCTCAGATACTTATTTTTTTAAAAATACATCAGCCTCTGTGATACCACTATTTCCTGTTCTCCACACATTCTCTTTGAGTATTCTTCTTCAAGCCTCTTTTTTTTTTTTCTTTCCTAGATACGGGCGGTAATGGCATCCACTTTCCTCAGGAAACTATGAACTTTGATCAATGACAATAATTACAGAAAGACCTCAGGCCTTTTGTTTATAGGGTCACTATGAGCCATCTCAACTCGACAGCAATCAACAGCAAACTTAATAATTAGTGCTGCCCCTGCTTCTGATCTCTACGTTGATGTCAGCTTTTGATATACCGTACTTAGCTCATGAATGAACCCATCCACTCTGATAGTTTCCAGTATCGCCTGTGGTAATAGGTAAAGTTTCTTCTGAGTTCTGTACTGTGCTGTCCTGTATAGTAAATGCCTCTGGCAATTCACAATTCAATTTATTTAAATGAAAATTAAAACTTCAGCTTTATAGCAATCTTTATGCACATTTATGCTAACAACACCTCAGATCCTTACTAACGATATGCTTCTAGAAGCTTCTACACTATATAGTGCAGATAACAATCATTTCCATCATCTTGGGTAATTATGTTGCAGAGTCCTGAACCAACAGGGTCAACCACCAGGAATCTCTAACTCAAAACTGAGCATGTCTTTCTTCCTTCAGATTTGCTCCTCTGATTTAAAGAGCATCTGGGGCTTGAGGATTATATTCTTACCCTCCTTCACTCAACTCTCATGTCTTCCTAGAAATTTTCTCTTGCTGTGTTTCCATTTTATTTGACTGTAGTTTGTTCTAGGTAAAATAACCTGAACTATGCCTGTGAACTGAATTTCGTTGTTGTTGTTATTGTTCAGTGCTGTCAGGTTGAGCACGACTCACGGTGACAGAACGCACAGCAGATGTGAACCCGTGCTATCTTTATCATTTCTGATACACTTGAGTGCATTCCCCTCCCTCTGTCGTCCTCAAACCTATCCTTATTTTAGGAGTTTATCGAAAATATAGTTCTGATTGCATTACACCTCCCTTTTAAAAATCCCTGCTTTAATTCCTCCTAGATTTCAAGTTATCATTATACTCCTCTTCATGTTACGAAGCGGGATTTTTCCACGCATTCTCTCCTTCCTGAATTTCCTCTTTCATTTCCTACCCTCTCACCTTGTAGTTCATTCCTTAGTAATGAGCTGCTTGTCATTCCCTGCACATCCTATGCTCTTTCATCTCTGTGCCTTTGTTCATGTTGGTTCTGCTTGGCAGAATGAAATTGAAAGTCATAAACATGGGTTCAAGGGATTTCACACTCCTGCTTTAATTTCTTTCCATTTTATCTCTTGAACATGCCATACATTTGGTTACTTATTTATTGGGAATAAATGCTCATAATATCTCAGCATTTTTTCTTGTCTCAATTTCTTTGCTTTTATTAGTTTCCAAGGACTGCCATTTCAAATTACCCCAAAACTCTATGGCTTAAAATAACAGAAATTTATTAACTCATAGTTCTAGAGACTGTAAGTTTGATTTCGGGTTATCTGTCTGTGGGGACAAATATTTTAAACTAGATCTTTTCTTTTTTTTCCCCCCCCTCTCCCAGCTGCTGGTGTACATAATAACTCCAATCTCTGCCTTTATTTTTACCTAGTCATCATCTCTCTGTGACTATTCTCACTTCTTATAAGGAAATCAGTCAAATTTACTTGGAACCTACCAGATTCCAATTTAACCTCTAGTTAGCTTGCTATAAGTACAAGAGTATTTCTGTTTTCAAATAAATGCTTATTCACAGGTGCTGGGGTTAGGACTTGAACATCTCTTTCTGGGAGACACAAATCAACCCATAACACTTTATTTCCTTCACCTAAATTTACTCTTTCCAGTTCTAGTTTTCAGAATCTTTTCTAGTCCTTCCTAACCTGCTCTAAATAATGGCTTCTCAGTGATATTATTCTTAATTCCCTTAACTTAAAAATAATGGTTTCCTTTTTTTTAATGACTTAACATATTTGCCGTACTTTTTTTATTATTTCTGTTCTTTTTTTTTCTGAGAGTTTAGGACACTTTTGATTGTTGTTGTTGAATCAGCTCTGGCTGATGACTTTATTTGTAACAGGACAAAATATTGCCTAATCTTGAAGCATCTTTATGATTGTGGATATGTTTACGTCCACTGTTGTGACTTTGTTGTTGGCCCATCTCATTGAGGGTTTGCCTTGTTTTCTCCCAACACTTTACTAAATAGGACGTGTTTTTCTAGTGACTTCCTTTTTCTGATGGTATGCCCAAAGTATGTGAACTGATGTCTCTCCAGCTTTGCTTCTAAGAAATATTCTGGTTGTATTTCTTCTACAACTGATTTGTTAATTCTTCTGGTAGTTTGTTGTATATTCAATATCCTTTGCCAGTACACAATTCTGTCTTTTTCATTATCTAACTTTTGCATGCATTTGAGGTGACTGAAAAGACCATAGCTTGGGTAGATACACATTAGTGACAAATTTGCTTTTTAAAAACTTTAAAGATGTTTTGTTGGTTGGTTTTTTTTTCCCCTCAAGAGATATGTCTGATACAGTACATCATTCTTGACTGCTGTTTGCTTAGATATTGATTGTTAAACTAAATAGAATAAAATAATGGACAACTTTTATTTCTTTGCTGTTTATAATGAGATTGTTTTTGGTTTGCTTATGAGGATTTTTGTTTACTTTATGGTCAAGTGTAATGTAAAACTGATTAAACTTCCATTTCCTCAAAATACTACTAGAAATATTATGACTTAATCTCAGTCAATAAATTATGGATAAAATTGAAATTAAGGGCATTCTAAAACACTTAGTTGTGCTCATGTAAAACCTGTACACAGCCCATGAAGCAGTCATTCAAACTGAATGAAGAGATTGAAGAGATATTGCATAGTTCAAAATTAGGTAAGTTGTGTGTCAGGTTTGTGTTCATTCTCCATGAATTACAGTAGGTAAATCTGCTCTCAGGGACCTTTCTAGAGTGTGGAGAAGGAAGACAATCAGTCTAGAGACTAAAGTGTGCCTGATCCAGGTCACGATCTTTGCAATTATTTGCTATACATCAGAGAGCTTGACACTGACTAAGGATTATAGAAGAAGAATTGATGCCTTTGAGTTGTATTATTGGAAAAGAGTCCTAAACATACCATGGACTGCCAAGAAAACAAATAAGTCTGTCTTGGAGAGGGTAAAACCAAGTTTCTCCCTGGAGAAAATTTGGCTTTTGAAGCTCTTTCACATACTTTGGGCATGTGACCAAGAGGGACTGATCCTTGGAGAAGGATATCATGCTCAGAAGGGTGGAGAGACAGAGCAGGAGATGAAGACTCCAAATGAAATGAATTGATGCAGTAACTAAGACAGTAGGTGTCAGAGTCAGTGAGACTGGCTCAGGACAGGGCAGGCTCCTATTGTACATAGGGTCTCTATGAGTTGCAGGTGACTTGACAGCACAAAACAATAACAACAACTATTCAAGCTCTCCACTGAACAAATAATTTGAGGAGATGGACTATCTGAAGAGGAATGTGGAATCAGAATTGGAAGAACATTCATCAACTACTTATATAGATAAATTTTCTTGCAACACTTACTAAAGAAGATGAAAAACTACATCTTTCATTACAGAGTGCTTCTCAACATGAAGAAAATAAAAATTATTACAACTGTTAAGGTCTTTCATTCATAGGGTTGCTATGAGTCTTCTACAACTTGATGGCACTTAAAAACAACACCACCAACACAGAACTCAGTGGGCCTGGTGGATAGAAAGTGATGCTACCAAATCAAAGGTAGATGATTTCAATCTGTGGCCTTCAGGCATGGTTTTAATTGTTTCTGGTCAAACATTCTTCTAAGTAGTATACCACTGGTCTGTCCATTTGCTGTACAGAGGTAATTTGTGGTTGCTGTGATGCTGAACACTGTGGCACTGATGCATCAAATGCAATAATGGTTATCTATGGTGGACAGTGTTTGGTGGAGCTTCCCCAATTAAAACAAGCTTAGAAGCAGTAGTGACATCCACTTCCAAAATAGCTTGCCTCCATAAACTCTATAAACTTGGAGAAATGATGAAAGTTATACAAGTGTTCAGATCTTTCATTCATAGGATCTCTATGAGTTGTGTACGACTTGACAGCACTTAACAACAACGACAACAAACTAACAGGCAACATTGTGATAGGTGGAAAAAATATTGAAATTTTCAGAGATTTCTTTTAAGTAGCAATCACAAAATAAAATTTGGGCACATCTGCTGTCAAGAACTTCCTAAAAGTGTTGAAGAGCAAGGATGTCAGTTTAAGAACTAAAGTGTGCCTGATTCAAGTAATCCTGCTTTCACTTCCTTCATATGCTTGTGAAAGGAAGACCAAAGAACTGATATGATAGCTTTGAACTGTGGTGTTGGTGAAATTATTGAATATACCATGAACTGCCAAAAGAACAAACAATTGTGTCTTGAAGGAAATGTAACTAGGTTGCTCCTAGGAGACTAGGCTGGTGAAATTTTATCTCATGTGCTTTGGGCATGTTGTCAGAAAGAACCAGTCTGGAAAAAAAGACTTAATTCCTGGAAGTGGAGGATCAGTGAAGAAAGGGAAGACATTAAACAAAATAAACAAAATCAGTGACAGCAACAATGCAGTATAATGGATAATGCAGATACTCTTTTTTATTACTTCCAATTTAGATTAATTATGGTAATATAGTATTACCATTATTAATTTAAATTGGAGATAATAATAAAAAGTACACTTCAGCTCAACTTTCAACTAAACAGTAGACAGTTATAGGTGAACAGTAAGAGCAGATAGGTACTCACACCTTAGAATTCTCAACTACATGCGATCAAAGAACAATATTTGCTGAAGGAAAAAGTTTAGAAAGCAGGAAAGTGTAGGATAGAAAGATTACTGATAATCATAAGAAGAACATAGAAAGAATACAATTGTATTATGAGCATGTAATTAAAAACCAAAATATGTATTAACAGATGAATGCAAAACGTATTTGCTTTAGACATTTCACTCAAATCACTCAAAAAATGTAAAAATGTACCCACCTCATATGTTGTTGTGAATATCAAATTATAAAGAGTACACTCCTAGTATAGTACTTTCTCAAGAAAAGTTACTTATCATTATTATTATTATTATGCCATTCTTTTTAAAAAAATTTGTCCTATTTCTTTAATTGTCTCCCTGGTACCAATTAATAAAACATTTAAGAATTCTTTTTTGAAACCTTATGTAGAACAAAGTAGAGCTGGTTCATAAGGTTTTCTAGGTTGTAAATTCTTACAGAAATAGACTGTCACATCGTTCTCCCATAAAGCAGCCAGTGAACTCGAACTGCTGACCTTTGAATTAGCCAAGCACTTAACTATTGTTCTCTAGGACTTAGAAAATAGAACATTGTCACTGATTTCTTGGTATAAAGGTTGTACTAGGAAGGACTGTATCTGTTTTTGCTTCACTTTTGATGCATTTGTTAATGTCTGTCTTCTCTAGAAAGGTGACAGAGTTTTTACTACCAGCACTGTCTCTGGGGGCTATGCAGAGTATGCTGTTGCTGCAGATGATACAGTTTACTCACTGCCAGAAAAACTGGACTTTAAACAAGGAGCTGCCATTGGTATCCCCTACTTTACTGCTTATCGAGCTCTACTCCTCCGGTAATAACACCCTCTGCCAACTATGTAGTTAATACCAGAAAAGGACAATCTCAACTACTTTCCTTTTTGCTATCTACTCATCATTTTCATTTACCATGTAGTTACTATTAAGAATTTATAGAATATAAACTGAAAATTTGGTAGATTTTGTTATGACTGAGGATTTAATGAGGATCACAATACAATTTTTATCTTCAAGATGATCAGAGTTTAATGAGATACATGGAAGATGTAAGGAGATGGAGGTAACAAGATTAATACTAACACTGATGTGAAAAGTATAGGACACTTGTAGAGATGTATATAAGAATTTGTGGGATTATAAAGGTTGATGACACTGATATGATTATGATCAGGGTTTCTCAGTGGGATATGAATGGGTTGGGTTAAAGCTATGAGTTGAAAACCTTGGTGATATATGACTGTCATGTGGGCAACAATTTAAAAAAGTACAATTCAGGGGACTGCTATTCCCACTTAGTTTCCATAACTATGACTTGAAGATCTGTGTTTTAATCAAACTCTCCAACTTAAAAAAAAAAAAAAGATCAGAGTGAGCTAGTCTAGGCAAAGACAGATGGGGAGAGGGCCATGTAGGTGATAGGAACAGAAAGGTGTGTGGGGAGAAACGGTGCATGACTTGAGAACTACACAATTTGGTTTTGCTGGTAGGTGATTTCAAGACAAAAAGTGGCAGAGAATAAGGTTAGACCATAGTGATTTTGGAAGAAGCATGGACAGTCTCCTCTCGAGCGATTAACTGCCTCTGAAAACCAGCTGGAGAGTCAGCTCTGGATCAGTTCGACTAGACGGTATACAACAGCGTAGTGGCTTAAATGAATGTTAACAGATAGATTCTAATTATAAAAAGCTGGATTATAGATTACTCATATTGTTCTATAAAAGATTAGAAGCCATACTTTAATTTATTAAAAACTATGATACTACCTTATTTGCATTTTAATGAAATCATTTATTAGCTGTGTGAAAAATGGATTTGAGGATAGGAATGGAGACAGAGGTAGTAGGTTCTTATACTATCTCTCCAGGTAAAATTCATATGGTCCAGTGAGAAGGAGACGTAGAAGAGATGTAGAAAGGTCAACCACTTTAGAAGATAAAACCATGCGTATTTGGTGATTTTGCAGAAAATGAGAGGAAGGGTTTAAGAATACTTCTAGGTTTCCAGGTGGAGTGATGTTGAACTGAGACAAAGAAGAGAATGGGTGGTTTTCAGAGGGAAACAGTTCAGTCTTAGACTTGAATCTCATAGGCAAACATCCTATAAGAACTCTAGAAGCCTTTTGGATATAGGAATCTGAAACTTGAAGGCTCATGACAGAAATATGGGGATGTCATCATGTAGGTGATAGTTGCGGAGATGACAAGGAATAGAGAAACAATGAAATATGCAGGAAAGCTAATTAACACCAGTATTTAAAAGTATAGTCAGTGGAAGGTGATAAAGGGGAGGAAAAGTAAAAAGAGTGAATTCCAAACTTCAGAGTATGTAAAGTTCCTGGTTTGATGGTTAAACTTATTAATTTTGGAGACAGACCTGGGTTAATGAGAAACAGTGCAAGTTATTAATAACCCAAAGCCAATTCTTATGAGATCAGATCTGCCTCCTAAATTCCAAATCTTTTTACCTATTCTTACACCAACTATCCTACCCAAGACAATCTCTATTTCTCTGTTCAGTTCAATAATTGTTTCAGTGTCTATGCAGGATTCATAGACAGTAATAATGATTATGGAGTTTAAGAGCAAGTTTTTTAGGAAAGTCATTATTATATGTCATCTAGTCAAGTGCAGTAAGCAACAGACTTGAACTGTGCCTTATTCTGTGCCATCTCATCAACTCTGACACACTTGATCCCATTACTGCAGTCACTGTGTCAATCCATCTCATTGGATATCTTCTCTTTTGCTGACTCTCAACCTTCCAAGAATTATGCCCCTTTCCAAGGAAAAAATCTCTTTTTCCAAGAAATATCTGATTGTTCTTTTGGCAGTCCATGAGATATTCAATATCCAATGGACTACAAAAAGAACAAACAAATATGTCTTGGAAAAAGTGCAGCCAGAGTGCTACTTGAATGCAAAGATGATAAACCTTTATCTCACATAATTTGGGGATGTTGCTATGGAGAGGGACATCGTGCTTTGAAAGGTAGTGATACAGTGAAGGAGAGGAAGACCCTCAACCAGGTGGACTGACACAGTGACCATAGCAGTGGACTCTAGTATCTCTGAGATTGTGAGGATGGCACAGGCTAGGGAAGGGTTCAGATACATTGTTCATAGAGTTGCTATGAGTCATACTCTACTCGACAGAATCTAACAACCACCACCACCCACTTCTTTGGTGAGTTACTCATTTTACTAAAAAAGTAGCATTAACTCATTCTCTGCCTCACAGTTAGAATATGGCCTTAACCTCATGCAAGCTGTATGACTTTGGTCAAGTCATTCCCCTGTCTCAACAGCAGTTTCCTGATTTATGCAATGTAGCAACAACAACAACAATCTCATAGCGTATAGTGGAAATTAGCACTGTACATAACACAGAGTAAGAGTTCAGTCTCAATCAGTACTGGCAATTCTTACTGTTGTAATGTGTCGTCAAGTTGCTTGCAACTCATAGTGACCCTACATACAACAGCCTGAAACCTGCTCTATCCTGTGCCAACTTTACTTTCTCTGACACACCTACCTACCCTCATTACCTCAGTCACTGTATCAATCCATCTCATCAATGGTCTCCCTCTCTTTATCTGACCCTCTACCCTTCAAAGCATGATGTCCCTCTCCAAGGACCAGTCCCTCATTACAAAATGCCCAGGTATATCAGATGAAGCCTCAGAATCCTTGCCTCTAAGAAACAGCCTGGCTTCATCCTCTCTAAGACGAACCTATTTGTTTTCCTGAAAGTCCATATATTCAACACTCTTCTTCAGCACCACAGCTCAAAGGCATCAATTATCTTTCAACTATCTCTAGTCATTGTCCAGCTGACACATAGTAAGCAACTGCGAAGACTATGGCCTGACTGACGTCATTGCTCTTCAGTACTCTAAAGAGGTCCCTGACAGCCGACTTTCTCAATGCAGTTGGTCTCTTGATTTCCTGGTGCTGGTACCAAAAATGTTGACTGTTTAACCAAGCAAAATAAAACTGTTAACAATCTCAGTCTCTTCACTATCCATTATAATGCTGACAATCAACTCAGCGGTGAGAATCTTTGTGTTCTTGATGTTGAGCTTCAATCCATATTGAAGGCTGCAGTCCTTGATCTTCTGCAGCAAGTGCTTCAGGTCCTCCTCATTTTCAGCAAGCTGGATTGTGTCTTCTGCATAATGCAGGTTGTTGATGAATCTTCCTCTAATCCTGATGCCCCATTCCTCCTCATTCAGCCCAGTCTCCCAGATGATCTGTTCTGCATGTACATTGAAAAGTTATGGAGACAGAATAAATCCTTGACATACATCCCTCCCAATTTTGAACCATGCAGTATGTCCTTGTTCTGACTACTGCCCCTGGCCCAAGTACAGGTTTTTCATAAGCAAATTAAATGTTCTTGGGTTCCTGTTCTTCTCAGAGTCAGCCAGTTTGTTGTGATCCACACAACAGTACTAATGGTAATAGTTAATGTTACTAATGAGAGCTGTCAAATACTGCAAGGAGGTCTATTCAGGGGGTAAAAATAACAGTCTGGTTCAGCAATTAAAAGAGTGTTAGTAATTTTAGTCAGGTTATTTATAGTAGATTAGTGGGACAGAAGTATACAGTGGGTTGAAGAAAAAAGAAGAAATTAATTATTTGAATAGAGACTACTGTTAAAAAATTGAGACAGTGAAACAGTAAAAAAAATGTAGCTAAAAAAAAGGCTCTAACAGAGGGAGAGATTAGAGTCTGTTGGCTTATATGTAGAGAAAATATGAAAGGTGGCCAGTAGGGCAAAATCCTATGTAAGGCAAAATAGAAATGTCTTAGGGCAGAGAACGTGACTGCAAAGAAGAAAAGACAGGTTATTCCTTAAGACTAAAGATAGTATTATGGAATATTAATGGGTAAGGAGGAGGAGTCATGTGTGATCACTCCTCTTCCAAATTTAGTGATCCTCTGAGAAACAGAACTGATGTGGCATGACAATGGATGGCTATGTGATTTTTCTTCTATAGTCTCAGCCATTTGGATGCAGAATCAAGGAAGGTAGATTCTCACATATCTCAGGCTGGAATATTGGTGACAAAAATGAAGCAGATCAAAGGAAATGAGAGCAGTAAAGGAAAAAAAAAGCTGGAGTCCAGACCAAGTAGTGAAGAAAATGAGATGAAGAACATTAACTTGGCAGAAGTAGAATGTTTGAGACACAGTGTCTCTATGCAGTTGAAGAAAAGGTTTTGAGAGAATGTGGGCTTCTAAGATTTGGATGAGAATAATGGACATATTGCTATTCTTGTCTGTTATCCTCTCATAGTTCTGATGTTGGTAGTTCTCAGTGGAGCGGTTGGGGTTGCTTGCCAGTATGATACTAGGTGTTTTTCCTATGGATGTTCAAATCATGTAGATTAGCACAGGATTTTGGGGAAAAGATAAAGAGTATTAGAAGGTTATCAGAGCTTTTAGTGTGTACCTTAGAGTTGGTACTGATCCACAGCTGACCTTCCTTCAGGTTTTCAGAGACAGTTAATTGCATGGAAGGAGATTGCCCACCAGTCTCCCACAGAGCAGCTGATGGCCAAAGGGCATGCCTTTGGGATTGCAGTGCAACTTCTTGCCACTAGGCCACCAGAACTCCCTACCAGAACCTTCAGAGACCAGAAAAAAACAAAAGCATTGAAAGGTCAATGGTTGAACCTCTGTTGTGAAATTCAACAGAGGATGACTTTTTACATCCCTTGCAGGATAGGAGGAGCATTGCACTGGGGAGTCAGAGGATTAGCTTGCTTTCTCCCCACTCCTCCAGGTCCCAGGGCTTAAGAGAATGTGTTCTTGATATAGTTTGTGAGATTTCAATAAAATATCTGCTGAAAAATATGACATATTCTGTAGTCACAAGTGACTTGATGGCACATAACAGAAACAACTAGAGTGTAATATCAGAGAGTCTACATTTGCATTTTACTTTTTAAAAGCCAGAGTGATTTGGGAGTGGTTACCTCACTTAATCTCTTCAATCCCTAGTGTAACTCATGGTCCTCTATTCTCGTATCTCCAAACAAGAGGGTTCAAGAAGGCATCACTGTTTATTACCTGACCATTTGTTACCTGTGGGCACAGAGCCTTGTGCAGGACTCCGGGTTCCTGTGTTCGTTCTTAGATTGAACATAATATGTCTACAGTGTGCCCACCTCCTATTGTTCTGACAAGCAAGAGAACCTCCCTCAGAGTCTGAACTGCATCCCACAACAGCTGCTGGCATGTGACATTCGCACTCGTCCATCTGGAGTTGTGGAACACTCCCCAAACTGTCTTTCTGAATGTTTCTTGTTTTCAGAACATAGTAGGAAAAATAGTCTGAATCAGAAGTTGGAAAAAAAAAAAATCATTTCACCAGAGTGAGTTTTAGAGAGTGAGAGAGTGACATGATGACCTTAGTGGCAGGATTTAGTGGATTTATTATTCCTGCTAACCATTGCTGACTCAGCACTGCTTTCTGGTCTGAGGGCAAAGAGGCTGGCATGACTCAATGTTAAATGGCTTAATTTCTTCCTGTGAGATTTACTGCCTCTGAAAAGCTGCTAGAGGGTCAGCTGAGTTGGTTCTGACTTGATGGTACATAAAAACAATCCCTGGGAAAGAGATTTTAGCTACTGTATTGTTTATTAATCTCGACCACTGAATTAAGGCTAAGGAAGAAAAAGTCCCAAACCAAGCAACCCGTCTTTGACACTTTCTGGGGCATCATATGAGAATGAGAGATTCCAACACCTCTAGGCAATACCATTGTACTTAATATACATGTGAGGACTGTAGACTCTTAACAAATGGAATCATGGATAGGAGCACAGGGAAACCAGCTGCTGTGGAGGTGATTCTCTCGTGTTGCAGAGTGAAACTTCCCTCTAATGAGTTTTATATCAATGATTTTTTAAAAGAAGATCATCAGCCTTTCATACAAGGTGCTTCTTGGGGAGGTGAAACTGCCAAACTTTTTAGTCATTTGTGGTTGTTAACACTGAATTTGAACCAACCCATAACTGACCATCCAGTGGGTTTTCAGAAGCAGTAAATTGCATGGGAGGAGATTGCCCATATTTCTCCATGGAGCAGCTGGTGGATTCAAACTCATGCACAGATTGTGCCAGCTAGGGTGCCTTGACTTAGTAAGTTCCTTGTAAAACATTTTGTTGAATGAATAAGTGAAAGGAAGGAAAGAGGACAATGGAGAGGAAGAAGGGTAGGAGGGAAGAAGAAGAAGAAAGGAATAAAGGTTTTCTTTTATCTGTGGCTCAGAAGGTCCATTGGATCTTGGAAAAGAATTTTAAGCTGGATATCACACTGAGTTTTCTCGTGGGGAAAGTGTTAGCTAATTTGAGGGTAGAATTTTCTTAAAGATGATAGGGTAGAAGTTTCTTAAAGATGATAAAAAGCATCTGTACTTAGTTTCAAAACATAAAGTGTTGAAACCCGTGCTGCTTTTTTGTCCCCTAGTGCCCGTGCAAAAGCTGGAGAAACTGTTCTGGTTCATGGGGCTAGTGGAGGGGTAAGTATGGACTGGTTAATTTTTCTTTAAAGTTTATTTTTTAAAAAGCCTTGTAGATTTCATGTTATATATCTTTTAGTCATTTTACAAAGCTACATACATGAAATGGAACATAGTCAAGGGTACCATTTTTTCATTGTATAGTAAAACTTCCAAAGGTGATTCTTCAGCATTAGTCTAGCCTTTTTTGGTTACTAAATTCAGCCAAGTACCCTATAAAAAATAAAGCATTTGGGCTTTTTACCTGTATTGCCTATAGACCAAGGTATGACTTTGTGTCTGCCTTCAAGTAGCATATATGATAAGAATATTTATTTAGAATTTTAAACAGTTCTGTTACGGTTAATATTGATTCCATATTCCCTTAGATAAGGAAAGGAAGGCTCATTAAAGCTTTACCCACGCTGCCCTAGACAGTACCGCAAAGCCGCAATGTGAATTCTTAGTTCTTTTCTATCTCCCTTCCACTGCTTGCCTGCTGTGCTTTGATGACATTCATGGAGCGCACGGTATACAGCTGTGTCCTTAACACCACAACCCACGGCTTAAAATGCTAATGTTGGACTGGAGGGTAGGGAGAAGAGACTCAGAACTTATAAAATAAGCCCTTCAGTGAAATCACCCAACGCTGGGCTGTCAGAAGCCTCTTCAGGAAACTAGCTGTCAGTCTATCTCTGAGGAGCTTAGAGGAAAAGTTAGAGCGTAGAGGTTGGAATTTAACAAGGAATCCACACGACCTCTATCCTGCATGTGGAGGCTTTAGAAATGTTAGAGACTACATTTCACATTTTTTAAAAGAAAGGGCTAAGAGGTTAGATGGCTCTCCTGGAGAAAGCTGGTTAACCCTTTTAAAGGACTGTCTACCTTCAAGTACAGGTTGAAAGAAATGCTCTGTGGAAATGGTGTGTTGACCATAATGAATGGTATCCTGAAAAGTTACACGTGGACAGGTAATACAAAGGATCTGTCCTTTGTGTTCTCTGTTCCTTTACAGATGGGTAAACACCCAGACTCCCCTTTGTACTTCAAGTAGAACAGTTCTGAAAGATTTAGTTAATCAGTTTATTTACTAAAAACAGGAAGTTTTTGGTTTGGTTGTTTTGGGTTCTTTTTAGGGCTTGAAAAATATAACCTGTATGCCTTGTGAACACTCCTATTGTTTAGCTTCATTAGAAAGGCTATTTTTGAATTAAATTACGTTTACCCTTCAATAGTTAGAGTATCTATCAAATGAATGCATGCATTTAAATCACTCTGGGTTTCAAGAGAGCTAACCTTGTGCTCTCTGGAGAAATGAGATTTCAGAAGGAAGAGGAGAGAAGAATTTAAAGGAAATCTTTTTATTCCTTTTACCCTCTTGTAAAAAGCACAGTTGCTTCACTATGATTTTTTTTTAAAAAAAAAAAAAAAAAAGCAAAGTCCACATAGTTCTCTAAGCTGGCTGAGAGTTTGTTAAATCCTTGGCTGGCAGGGATAGGTTGAAGGCCTGGTGTGTGAAGTGCTTCTGATCCTCCCGGCCCTATCAGAGGGGAACAGAGCTCTGAGTTTTATCTTGCTTCTGTTTGTACTTTCTGTCCTCATTTAATTCAAAGTCCTTTGGGATTATGTAGTATGTTTAAAATGCTGTGGAATTTGCCAACATTGCCATCTCACAGATATGGTGATGGGGAGTATCCTATTTTAATGTTAGCAAAATAAGTAGAAGGAAAATAGTGTGCAGGTGTAGTGCCTATTCATTGAAAGAATATTGCTAGAGTAAATGTTGAAAAGAACAGAAGAAATACTGCCTTTAAAATAGCTTTGGAATACTCTTTAAAGTAGCTAGAGCTACAATAAGGATTGCTTTTAGCTTAAAATATCATTAGAGGTCTAGTTTGTTGTTTTGATTGGGTTGTTTTCTTTTTTTGTTGTTATTAAATTGTATTAGTTTTAATGAACATTTACAGGGATTTTGGGTTTTCATTCCTTCATTGCTGCACCATTCTCTCTACCCTCCTCCCCAGTTTGTTCTTCTTCCCCCGCCATCCGAATGTCTGTTTTAATTGTCTAGTTGCCACAGTGCTTGTCCAGAATCCTTTGTATTTCTTCCAGCCAGTTGGCCAGGTGGTTGTCCCCTAGATTTCTTGACACAGCCTGGTGAGCACTTCCAGGGCCACCCACATCTCTTTGTTGAAATATGTCAATTGATATTCCATCAGTTGGTCTCCCCAATTACTGGGGCCTTGTTTTTTGCCAATTCCTTTAGAGCAGCTTGAACTTCTTCCTTCATCACCATTGCCTCTTAAACATAAATTGTTTCATGAAATATTTCTGTATTGGTTAGTTTTGTGTTTATTTTGAAACAGTGCCTTTGTGTACTCCTTCCATCTTCTTTTGATGCTTCCTGAATCATTCCATATTTTGCCAATAGCATCCTCAAGCTGCAATTCAAGGCTTAAACGTTTCTTCAGTTCCTTCAGTTTAAGAAATGTTGAGTGAGTTCGACCCTTTTGATTTTCTGACTCCAGCTCTTTGCACATTTCATTCTAATACTTTGCTTTGTCTTCCTGAGTTGCCCTTTGAAATCTTCTGTTCAGCTCCTTAACTTCTAGATTTCTTCCTTTTGCTTTGGCTTCTCAACGCCATAGTGCAATATTCAGAGTCCCATCTGACATCCTTCTTGGTCTTTTCTTCCTCCTTTGTCTTTGAAGTGACCTTTTACATTCTTCATGGATAATATTCTTGATATCCTCCCACAGCTCATCTGGCCTTTGCTTTTTAATGCTCAAGGCCTCAAATCTGTTCCTGAGATGCCTTTTTAATTTAGGTGTGATAGAGTCCAGGTCAAATTTTGATGCTTGTGGATTTGGTTTAATTTTCTTTAGCTTCAGTTTGAATTTGCAGATGAGTAGTTGATAGTCTGTTCCATAATCAGCAGCTGGCCTGATTTTCTCAGCTGATAATGAGCTTCTCCAACAGTTCTTTACACAGGTGTAGTCAACCTGATTCTAGTCAGACCATCAGATGAGGTCCATGTATATAGTCTGTTTGTTTTTTTATAAAAGATATTTGCAATGAATAAATCACTGACTACAAAATTCTGTCATTTTATCTCCAGCCTCATTTCTGTCACCCAAGCCCATGTTTTCCAGCTACTGATCTTTTTTTCCTATTGCCAACTTTTGCATTTCCGTCACCTGTTAGTGTGTTAGTGCATCCTGGTTGCATGCTCTATTGATTTCTGACTGCAAAAGTTGATGGGGGGGGGGGGAAGAAATCATCTGTTTTCTCTTCTTTGGCCTCAGAAAAGAGTTTGAGATTATTAACAATTTCCTTTTGCTCAGTTCCACAATGACCAGGGAGGATAGAAGGAGAATTGATGCCTTTGAGCTGTGGTGCTGGAGAAGAGTATTGAGAATACCATGGACTGCTAGGAAAACAAACAGATTTGTCCTGGAAAGGGTTAAACCGGGTGGCTCCTTGGAGGCAAGGATTCTGAGGCTCCCTCTAACATACTTTGGACATGTTGTGAGGAGAGACTGGTCCTTAGAGAGGGACATCATGCTTGGGAGGGTGGAGGGACAGCGCAGGAGAGGAAGGCCCTCTATGAGGTGGATTGATTTAGTGACTGGGGTAATTGGGATGGGAGTGTCAGAGACCGTGCGATTGGCACAGGACAGAGCGGAGTTTAGGGCTGTTGTACATAGGGTCGCTATGAGTCGCAGGCAACTCAACAGCACATAACAACAAAAAAAAACAACAACAGTTCCACAATCAACACTCTTGGCACCAGCAGGCATGAAATCAAAAGACAAATTGCATTAGGAAGCTGCTGTCAGGGACCTATCCAGATTGCTGAAGATCATGGATGTCAGTCCACGTAGACACTAAGGTGTCCCTGATCCAGGCCATTGTCTTCAGAATTACTTGCTATGCATCAGAGAGCTGGACAGTGGCCAAGGACTACAGAGGAAGAATTGATGCCTTTGAGCTGTGCTGCTGGAGAAAAGTATTGAACACACCATGGACTGCCAAGAAAACTAACGGGTCTGTCTTGGAGAGGGTGAAACCAAACTGCTCCTTGGAGGCAAAGATTTTGAGACTACATCTCCCATAGTTTGGACATGTAGCCAGGAGGAACCAGTCCTGGTAGAAGGATATCATGCTTGGAAGGGTTGAGGGATAGCACAGGAGAAGATGACCCCGGATGAGAGGGATTGACACAATAACTAGGGTAATGATGGTAAGTGTGTCAGAGACAGTGAGATTGACTCAGGATGGAGTAGAGTTCAGAGTTATTGTGCACAAGTTTGCTATGAGTCATAGTCGACTTGACGGCACATAATAACAACAATCATTTGTATTGACTTCCAAATGTATTGTATTTCATCCAATTAAATGTTTGTCTCCTCAATGAGACAGTGAGCTCTATATGGTTGTTTGCTTTTGATTAAATCAAATAAATCCTTGTCATAACTAGAGTTCAGGCTCATCATTCCCATATACCAGATAATCTTGAAGGTCCATTTCAAGCCCGAGAGTTAGTGATTTGGTTACAATTAAGTACTTTCTATCATAATTTGTCATTTTGATTTTTTGTTTTGCTCAATCAATAATGATTTTACCCAAACATCTCTGCCCTTGAATTAATGCAGACTCATAGTGACCGTTTAAAATGGAAAAAGTTCTCCATATGGTTTTCAAGGCTGTAATCCTTTACAGAAGCAAACTACCATGTCTTTTTCCTGCAGAGAGGCCATAAATTTGAACCACTGACCTGGAGTTTAGCAACCAAGCATTTTAACTGCTATACCACCACAGCTCCATTGCTGAACATGACAAACTCCACAATAAAGGATTATCTTGCAAAATGTTAAGTAAAGGAACCCTGTTCTAAATATATATGCCTTCTCTACCATTCTTTAGGCATTTACTCAAGTGTATGTATTTTGGTTTTGTTATAAAATTATTCATTTATCTATATTCCTAAAATATTTGTGTGCCTCTTCTATACAGAGCAC